GTTATTTTAAGGTATTAAATATCTCGTATATTTCTCTTCTCTCTATCTAAGTAATTAGCGTTCGTAACTATTAAAAAAATAGATATATATTATTAATATATAAAATAACTTTTTTATTTTCTATTAAAATCTAAAGATTTTTTTTAAATTATAAAATGAAATATAGGCTTTTAGATAGAAAAAGAATTCTTAAATTTAATCTTATAATTATTAAAGCGTAAGGAATTCAAATATCGCTTACTAAAGTTCGCTTATTAAAGATCGCTTATCTATTTACTCGATAGCTCTAATTAAAAAAAAAATTATAAATTTAATTTATAAATCTTTACTCGTTATAGTATAATAAAATCTATTTAAATTCTATAAGTTCTATATCGCGTAATAAGATAAGAATAAATTTAAGATAAATTTACGGAGGATATCTTTTAAAACTTACTCTCGATCTTATAAGATCTAAGAGCTTCTTCGATAATTATATATTTTTAAAATATGCTAATATTTTTTTAACTTAGCGTATTATATATATACGATTATATTCGATAATTATATTTTTACTTATTAGATTATATTATATATTAAAAATATATAAATTATAAATTAACTTATAATTTAATATTTAATATATATTAGATATATAGAAATAATAAATATTTATAACTATAATAGCGATATTTTTTATTTTTATAATTAATAGTTATATTTTATAACTATAATAGCTATATTTTAATTATAAATAACTCTCTATTTAAAGAGATAGCTATAAGTATTATTCTTACTATTATTTAATATTATTCTTCTTATTATAATAAGTAAATATAAAGAACGTCTATTCTATCTAGCTATATCTATATTAAAGAAATTCTTAATAGCTATTCTATAGTTATATAAAGCGCTTTTCGTATATCTTTCTATATACTTAATAAGCTTTAGAACTAGCTATTCGATTATATTAAGTTAATTTTATCTTATACTATTAATATTATAGAGAAACTCGCTATATTTATATACTCTATTAATTATAATCTTAGTAATAAGAGAATATATAATCGCTTTTAATACTTAGAGAATACGATATCTCGCTATTTTTATAAGATTTCTAATATTTTTAGAGTTCTCTATAAATAGATAATATAATTATTTAAAATATTATATCTTACTTTATTAAAAATCCTCTTAAGCCCTAAATTTATATTCTATTTCGATAATTATCTAGATGTACTTAATAATATATATATCGATATATATATATTAATAGAAGAGTATATACTATAGTAAAATAGAAAGAGAAAACTTAGTTAGAATATACTTACTATATATAAATTTAATATATTATTTTACTATATACTATCGAGATAAAAAGGCTCTATTTATAATATTAGAGTACTTTAAAACGCTATATTTTATAAAGAATTTACGATATCTAACGATAAATACTATCTCGCCGACGCTAGATATTTAAATTACGATTTTCTATTAATTAATATATATAATAGAATAAGATAGAGCTAAGTTTAAAAATCTTAAATTTATATATATAGCTAATTATTAATTTAAGTTCTTTACGCTTTTTAATTAAATCGACTAAGTTATCGCGAATAAATAAATTAGTATTTATAACTATTAAAATCTCGCTCTTTCGCGTCTCTCTTATTAAAAAAATAGATATATATTATTAATATATAGAATAATTTTTTAATTTTCTATTAAATTTTTTTTTTTTTTTAAATTATAGAATAAAATATAAGCTTTTAGATAAAAAAGAAATTTTAAAATTTAGTCTTATAATTATTAAAGCGTAAGGAATTTAAATATCGCTTATTAAAGTTCGCTCGACAGCTCTAATTAAAAAATAGATATATATTATTTAATTTTAGAATAACTTTTTTATTTTCTATTAAAATTTTAAAATTTTTCTTTTAAATTATAGAACGTAATATAGGCTTTCAAATAAAAAAGAATTATTAAATTTAGTCTTATAGATATTTAAAAGTAAGAAATTCAAATATCGCTCATTAAAGATCGCTTACTAAAGATCGCTTATTAAATTTACTCGATAGCTCTAATTAAAAAAAACGATTATGAATTTAATTTATAGACCTTTACTCGTATTATATATAAGAATACGATATTATTTAAAGAAGTAGCTAAAGGCTAGTTTAAAGCTCGAGATTATAAAGAAACTATTTAATTTACGTTATTTATAGCTTCGGAATGTTATTGAAAGAATATTCGATATACTTAAGAGACGATTTCTATTTATTAATTTCTTAGTAAAATTTAATATTCTAACTTAGATATAGATATAATTCGATCTTATAGCGCTATATAACTTTATTATTCTATATCGTCTTATAAATAATAAAAATATATATATTATTAAGATTCTTAATAGTAATAATATAAGAGATTAAGAGTCTTTAAAGAATAGCTTCTTATTAGATACGAAAATAAATAAAAAGTAAAATAAAATTACGACGATAATATAGAGAAATTATTAAGATATCTTGCTTAATAAGTAAAATACTTCGATAAGTAAGAGTTATTTATATAGATAGTTTACCTACGAAGCGTTATAGCTATCTAAGCTTCTTCGCTATTTTTAATATATTCTTATATTTATCTATTTATCTATTTTATTTACTTATCTTTATAATTAGTTACTTCGAATATTCTTACTTAATATAATATATATATATACTTTCTTTTTATTTAAAAAGATATCTATAGTCTAATAAATAAAGTTATTATTCTTTATATCTATTATAATAAGTAGTAATATTATAGTATTTTCGACTATAGTCTATAATATCTCTTTTATTCGCTATATCTCCTTATTTTCACGCTATATAATCTTCTTTTTACGCTATAAAGTAGATCTATTTATTTATTTATTTATTTATTTATTTATTTATTTATTTATTTATTTATTTATTTATTTATTTATTTATTTATTTATTTATTTATTTATTTATTTATTTATTTATTTATTTATTTATTTATTTATTTATTTATTTATTTATTTATTTATTTATTTATTTATTTATTTATTTATTTATTTATTTATTTATTGATTTATTTATTTATTTACTAACTTCTTTAATAGCGTTATCTATATACTATCTATTAGTCTTCTTTTATCTCTTATTAAAAGTTTTAATCGCAATTTCGAAGCGTATATATCTCTTCTTCTCTATAATTACTATCTTATTATTCGATATATATTCTTTTTAATCGCTAACTTATAAAGTTTTAAAAGATAGAATAGTATTTAAAGATAGAATATCTAGAAGATTAAAATCGAGGATAATTATAGTAATAGAGAAATAAATAATCTAAGCGTAACTATTTATAACTATTCTATCGAGAAATAATTCGTTAAATTCGATAGTAAATAAAAGAGATATATCTTATAACTAACTTATAAGTTTATTTTTCTAAAAAGAGTTATTTAAATTATAATAGTCTATTATATTCATATATATCTATTTACTCTTATTATTAATTATTATCTACTATTAATAATTACGTTATCTTATTAAACTCTTATCTACTTAATTAATAGCGTAGAAATCGCTATAGATTTTATTTTTTCTTATAGAATTATATCTTCTAATATTAAGACTTAATTATTTAATACTTAATTAAAATTATAGCTTAAATAATAGCTAAAATAGTCGTCTATACTTCCAATTTAAAGCTTATATTCTATCTCTTAAAGAGATAATATTATTATACTATTTTAAAGTATATTACTAACTTTATAGTATAGAATTATTTAAACTCTTTTAAAGATATAATAAGAGTAAACTCTATTAAAGAAGATAAAGTAATAATAAGAATAATAGAAGTATTAATAATAGTTAAAGCATATATAGTAATAGTAGATATATTAGTTATAAGACTATTAAATAATAGATAAAAAGATAATTATCTAACTAAAAAGACTTTTTTCGATTATTCTATATTTAATTCTTACTTAGCGAGATTATAGAGTTATCGAATAAAATCGTACTTATATTTTATATATTTTAAGTTTATATTTTATTTACCAAGAGGTGGGGTAATATATGTTGGCATATTTTGAAAATATGTGGTTACCGAAGGGGCCCTAAGACTGTGCATTACTTTGTTGCGGGCATTACCAAATATATACGAGTATGTCCACACAAAGCCTTACGTCTATTTAACCAATCATCAAGCCATCTGGCCACTGGCTCTGTGGAAGCAGTTACGTCAATCAGTTCTATGGCAGATCTATTCACATTTGACATATGTGGACAGTATCGACGAAAGCGCCTCTCATCCTTGCCAATGGTAGACTTTAAGGGATCTAAGGTTCAAGGCGTTGAGCTCGCACCGAGAATCATGGCCTACTCTTACCCGGAGGCTCCGGAACAAACCTATACTTTACCTGTCGCTACTGACGGTCCTGCGTATTCCGCCATCATCTTCGCTTGGCATATTCATGCTGTGAGTTTTGACCTTAAAGGGCTTCTTTGGCCCAAGTGGCGGTTCTTAGCGGCTGATCCGAACCATGGTTTCAGCATGCAGCATAAACACCTCGAACGCCAAGTCACTCTTTCATGTCCTCGAGCACCGCTGGCACCTGTAGGTTCCCACAATCGAAGTCAAGACGAAGAACATCTACCACTTGTTAAGTTCTCAGAAGCCAAGGCTTCAAGGTGTCAAAGTGTCCGTCGCCAGTAATGGTGATGGGCTGCCAGAATCGTGGTTTTGACAGCGCTTCCTGTTCTCTATAGTAGACTCCGGAGATTGTTTATCCCGAAGGCTCAAGGTCTCCATCAAACTCAATATACGCAAATGTCATGACGCTGTTCCAGTCCTTCCTTCCTAAAAGGTCTCTGATCCCGCCAAACACTTGTCAAAGGTCTCGGCTCTTGAATCCAGCAGTCCGGCAGTTCATTCGCTTTCAGAGGTTCAGTCATAGCACATTTTCTCGGTAGGTAACCTGCAGCTCTATCCCAGCATAACCCCTCAAGATGCAGCTCACCTCCATCGCTCTCTTCCTTTCTGCCGCCGTCTCAGTATCAGCACTTCCAGCCACTCTCCAAGCACGCCAAGCAGCAGCAGGAGCCCACAGTCCCACCGGTCCCATAAGCGCCAAGGTTGCTTGCGACCGCTCCAACAAAAGCATCAGCCACCAAATCGCCGAGATGTCCAAGCTCAAGGCGAGCAACATCAGCGTTCCCGCATACCTAGCCGGCTATTTCGCAGCCATCGACGACGAACGACAAGAGCTCGGGTGCCCAGGCACCATCTCGCTTGGCAAACGTGAATTCACGCCCAACAAAGAGCCGTGCGATGTGAACAATGGACTAAACGAGCGGATGACGGCGGTGGTCAACAGGTCTGAGGCAGACCAGATTGCCGTGGCGCCGTTTGTCGCTGGATTCTTGTCCGCGGTGCTAGATGTGCATAAGGGGTTGGGGTGTCCTCCATTCAGTGGACCGGCATCAGAGGCGGCTGCGGCTAGGATTGCTGGTGCTTCTAACTCCACGGTTTCAGATTCGAAATTGTCTTAGTCGGCTGCTGTTGGGAAGAGCTCGGGGTGGTGGAGGTAATTGCGTAGATATGATTCGAACTTGATCGGAGGGGCAGATTTAACGGAAACGTTGTTTCATACAAGTCTTCTAATTCATGGACAAGAAAAGCAGCACGTCCGCAGTGCTTTGAGAACTTCGGTTCCATGGCTTTTATAGATAAACATAATCGGACAATCTAAGAATGAATGAGCAAGTTCTTCCAATCTTGGCTTTTGTGGAATTGAACCCATCGTGGACAGCATTGTACGACAAAGATGAGTGACATTGTGCGATATCATGCATTCGTCACGGTCAAGGAACGTCAGCTCATTCATAGGGCTATTGCGTTGTCTTGTACAGTATCACGAGTGGAATCAAAAACCTGTGCGCATAGTCAAGGAGACGATTGTCGTCCCATCTGGGTTATTCACTGTATCAGCACATTAAACCTCTCAATACGACTGACAGAAGAAGATTCCAACCCTCTTATGCAAGACTTCCTGCACACAGAGGGTGGTACTCGACCACAAAAGAAGAGGCTTCGAGCTGCCGTCGTCAATGAGCACGACGTTCTTCCAGACCTTGCTTATGGCGCGCGAATCGATTGTCGTCACGTGGCGGCAAGGCACACGACCATCGGAACCCTTTTCGTCGCGAAGATTCACCCTCTACAAGCGCCCAATGACAACGACCATTCATTCTTAATTAGCACCTCATCTACCCCGAGTTGTACAGCCGTGCCGCGTCTCGCCTAAGTCCAATGTTCGATTTGCCGGCAAACATGCAAACAAAGGAAGGCAGACTCAATAATCATCACATCTCGAGACACGACTGCCACGCAAACTTCTTCCAAGCCAGCGAAGCAGCCACGCGATGAATCTTTCCGCAGCACCCTCGCCTCTGCTAACGCCGACGCCGCCAGACTTCTATCATTGTTCCCAATTCTATGCTCAGAAGGATGTACCTGACTACGATGACTGCGAGGTCGCCGTCGGCCTGCTGCCGTCCGGAAACGCGCAGATTCCCTGGTATCTCGACCCTCAAAGAGGGGACCCCGAAATGCTATCGTACACCGCAACGCACGGTCAGTGAAGCCTGTCCGAGTAGTGAAGCCAACACGTAACGCGACCATCGCCCTAATCTTGGGATAAAATCACAGGAACGTGCGAACTACAGATGCAGGTCGCGGGCCAGGGCGCCGACGGCAGCCGGCAAAATTGGCTTTCGGGGAACTTCATGCGACAGATGGCACGCCTGGCCATGGACAAATGCATCCTAGCGCACATCACGGGAGGATATGTGACAAGGGGCTTCGCGAAGCAGCTCAACTATGTCACCTCGCCCGAGACCAAGTATGAGGACGTATTTCGTGAGTAGGGGTTAGAAGCTCCTCCGCCATTTTCTTGATGGATGTGGATCGAATCGCTCATGGTCACCGAAATAGCTCCAAGTACGGCCTTCCTCACGATGATGATACGTGACTCCGGTTCCGACGACGATCGATACAGTCCCGGGGATCGGGACCCGTATACAGGACAACGCCTTGTGGACGCGCTCGAAGCGGCGGTTTACATGGCGGCGGCGGGGAGCCCGGCGAGGGAGAATTTGCAACGGAATCTCGACCACTGGTATGAGACGGTGCGGAGGATGGACGGCACCAGAGACTGGTGGCAAGATGTTCCCCGAAGTAGTGGTAACCCCACTGGGGTTGGTTTGACGATTTCGAATGTGAACTCGACGTTCGCATGTGGGAACGGGGCCGAAGGGATCACACTGCCACCCAAGGCATGCTTACAGATTGCAAATACAGGAGTATCAATCGAAGGAAGCGAGACTTGAAGCGAAGTAGCCAAGCACAAAGGATTGTAAAATTAGGGAAGCTTCTTGTACAAAAATGAAATCGTGTCTGTCACTGGTGAAGCCTCACTACCTACTTTAAGACTTTGCGAAAGTAATTCATGTGGCGAGGTAACCTCTTAAGACTCTAACAAGTCCTGAGGTTTCATCTATGACAGACATCAAAGGCCTCCTGCAAAATTCGCACGGCATTTGTCACTAGATCTTGTAGACTTTCGAACGCTTCGACTTCCTTATCGTCCGCTTGATGTCAATGTTCCATACTTTCCAAGGCCTCGCCTTTTAGCCGCCTACTTCTCGATGACACCCCTCAACACATCCTGAAATCCTGGAACAAGTAGCCGCACCGTGTTGCTCGCATCCGGCGGCGCAGCGTCTGAATCACTCACTTTCTCAAGATTAGCTGCGTCGCCCTTACTCTTTCCGTCGATATCGACCGTCGTAGCATCTCTCACACTCTCGCTTTTGCCGGACCTTACGGGCCCACTGGGATTTGCGGGCGTGATTGGCGTTTCGTCCATTAGCGTCTGCCACCTTGAAAGATACATGCCAGGGCCGCGTTGGATATCGGACTCTCCTTCCGCGAGGTGGTGAATGACTGTTTTCATACTCTGAGTAGAGCTGTGGGTGAGGGTGAAGAGGTACTCTGCATGGCTGTTGATCTCTTCGAGAACTTGGGCTCTCTCTGCTTCGGAGAGATTGGAAAAAAGTGACTCGAGATGTGGTGTGAAGTCACCAGCTGCTGCGGTGCGTGTTCCCTCATCATCGATGGCACGCTCCGTCTCCTGCCTGTACTGTCTTGCGGCGTGCATCGCGTAGTCGTAGTACCGTTGAGCCAGGTCCTTGTTGTTCTTGAGGACCTGGTGAATGAATCTATGAGAGCTGCCTTGGTGCTTTTGTAGCAAGCGGCAGAAATCCTCCACTGACGGAGGCTGAGCCACTCCGCCCTTGCTTTTCACGGTGGACACGCTGATAAGATCATTCAAGAAGTTTTCGAGGTCAGAGATACCGCCGCTTAGATCGTAGGCTTGATGAAGGCCGCGTATGATGGGATCGTATGCCGGGATTACAGTCCGAATTGAAGATGTCAATAGATCTGGCGAATGATGACAGAGGCCATCAACGAGTTCCTCCCTATCTCGGATGGCTAATTGAATGGCAAGGTACTCTAAGGCGAGTTTGTGCTGGTACTCGGATGGATTTGCAGCATTCGACGAGCTAGTAAATATGGCATTTACAATTGACTCCGGCTGACTCTCTGGACGTAGTGTAAGCATCAGAGTCTAGAAAGGACTAGGGACTGTGTACCGCTTTCCGATCTGTCCTTGCGCTGTTCCTCGTTCGACTTTGAGCCATAGGCTTTGAGCAGTGCTAGATGCTCCTTTTTGGGCGCATCTTTGTCCTTCTCAATGGCACTTGCTCGCTTCTTCAATTCGCTACTGTCCGAGCTCAAGACTGTCGAGATAATCCTAAAGGCTTTTTAAACAAAAGAGGTGTGCCATGGTTGAGAAGCTTCAACGTACTGTTGCATCAAGTTCATGCCAGAATCAGAAGGCTGGCCCCCAAACCATGAAGTGACAGTGCTCAAGTTCATTTTTGCAAGGATCAACTTTACCATGCCGTTCAGCATAGATGCCGCGTTACCAAGCTTCAAGGTTTGTCGAATCATGAAGTATGGTGCAAGGTTGTGAGCCTTGGTCAGCAGCGGAAGTATGGATTGGCCTCGTGGTGAGATGACGATGATGTAGTGGAGGAAGGAGCCCAGAATGGTGAAAGCGTACTCATGAGCAGCCTGCACCAGAGGCTCATGGTCTGACAGTTTATCTGTCTCGGCAGCCTTGGCAAACAATCTGTCCAACATGTCCCCATAGATAATCTGCTGCAGAAACTCATCCCAGGCGGCGACTACGTCATCCGGATCTGAGGTGTCATATTTGCGCTCCTTGTTTCCAGCATGTCTTGGATATCCACCCAAGCAGCCTCTAGAGACGTATTCTACAATCGACGCGGTTGCCGTCGACAAAGTCTTTCGGATGCCGATGGAGCCCTTGTCGTAGCTTTCGCTGAGATTACCTTGGGCCAAGGCAACAACGAGGTCCTTGACATTGGTCCAAAAATCGGGCGCAACATCTCGAAGGCCGGGAAGCACGTAGACGAATTTATGGAGAAGGATCTGAAGTAGTGGTGACGCGCTGCTATCTGGCTTCTTGGGCTCTCCTGGAACCTCGAAATCTGACACGGTCTTGGGATCCTTCAAGGCTTGAATCTCTGCGTAAGTCTCGTGATGGGTGAGAATATCGAACAAAGCATGTGCTTGTCTGGGAGAAAGCTGTTGGGTTCCCATGGTCTTGTCACGAAAAATCCATGCCAACTGTATCGAGTCAGAGGTGGTAGATTTCCTTGTATGTGGCGTTAGCGTTCGGACATGACACCCTAGCGCATCTTAGATTTAGGAAATCTTACTGAGCATCTCACATACCGTAAAGTAGGGTTAGGGCTATAGTCCGTGCGTGCATGGAGGCGTCGCCAAAAATGCTGCTTCTTCTTTCATCCTTCGTTCAATCCACCGCCATCGCAAGTACAGTAACAATGCTTTGCCCAGACACTTGTTGAAGGCGGCTCGTATTTCTCTGGCAGTTCTCAGCCATAGTATGCATGGGGCGGCCACCCCACCAATAGCTGGAGGGTCACCCCGCCATGCACCAGCATGCACCTAGTGAGTCTAGGGAATAGATCAATGCACGAGTCTCGTATCTTTTCTTTTTCATCTTGCCTCTTGCAGGTGCTACCTTGGGTGGTCGAGTCTTGACAGTTTTACTGTTTTTTTCTCTCTAGATTTCCTGCGTTCGATAGCGTGATGGCCTTTGAAAAGGATGCGCCCTCCCACGGGAAGAATAACTTTGAAGCGCCAACGCAAGAAACGAGCCCGGAGACTGGACCATCGTCGCGCCTGGTCGAGGCCTTCGAGTATGGTGTCGGCGATACTACCAACGATATGTCAGACATGAGACGCTTGGGCAAGAAGCAGGAATTCAGAGTACGACAACACTCATCCCATCCCTACTTACGTCTGACTGGGCTGCGTTGAACCAGAGAAACTTCAGCTTTCTTGCAACCTTGGGCTTCATATCTATATATATGGCTACTTGGGAGTTTGTCTTGGTGTATGTGATCAAAGACTGCGCCTTTCGATTCGGTATCTGCATGGCTCACGTTGAACAGATCATTGAGCGTAGGACTTCTTAATGGTGGTTTCGGTGGCCTCTTCTGGGTCTTCATTGGCACTGTCGTCTGTTATTCATCTGTTGTTGCATCTCTGGCCGAAATGGAGTCCATGTAAGTACTCATCAAGACAGTCATATCACTAGCCACATACTTTGTGACGTAGCGTAGAATCCTGCCATGCTTTTCTGATGCTTCAGCCGTGATCTGGTCATGCTGACGGGACAATAAGGGCTCCTACGAGTGGCGGTCAATACCACTGGGTCAGTGAATTCGCGCCTCCCGAGTACCAGAAAGTTGCCAGTTACGCAGCAGGTCCGTTTCCCTCGATTTATTGCTTGCGCGTCACAACTACACGGGAGCTAAGCACTGGGTAGGCTGGATGTCGACATTGGGCTGGCTCGCAAGTGTTGCCAGTAGCGTCTTCGTCGTCGCTACTCTTATCGAAGTCCTGATTGATGTGACTAATCCCAGCTTCGCCTTCCCTAACTGGCAGTACACTCTCATCATGCTAGCCATCCTAGTCCTAACAATCTTCCTTAATACTTGGGGCGCAAGAGTGCTGCCGATGCTTGAGACTATATCCCTGTTCGGTCATATTGGAGGCTTCATCATAACTTTGATACCACTTTGGGTGCTTGCGCCGAAGAATTCGGCGCATGCAGTGTTCGCAGAAGTCGTCAACAATGGAGGCTGGAGCAATACCGGGACTTCATGCTTGGTCGCACAGGTGACAGTTCTCTACTGCAATCTAGGTGGGCTCTAGCTCGTGTGAGAGACAGGTCCAGAGTACTAATGCTACACTCAGGTTCCGACTGTGCCGTGCATATCTGTAAGTGATGCTCCTACATTTTGCCACATTAGAGACGCCGATATAAACCATAGCTGAGGAAGTCGAAGATGCATCCCTCGTCGTACCGCGATGTATGTGGTGGAGCTACATCCTCAACGTACTCATGGGCATCGTTATCCTCATCACAATGCTTTTCTGCATTGGTGATCTCAATGACGCGATTAACTCCCCTGCGCCATACCTAAGCCTCTTCAACAACACAGGCTCGATTGGAGTATCCATGACCCTCACAGTCATACTGTTTTTGCTCGTATTCTCCGGTAATGTCACTGCGCTAGCTACCACCTCGAGGGAGGCTTGGGCTTTCTCGCGCGATCAGGGGTTTCCTTTTTCCAAATGGATCTCCCGCGTGAGTTCGCTGCGGGGAGTCCAGCGGATGGAGTGTTGGACTGACAATAGTCTATAGATGAACTACAAGCGTAACGTCCCGGACAACGCCGTCTACCTCACCTCCGTTGGCTCTGGCGTCATCTGCCTCATAAACCTCGGATCCACTACCGCCTTCAATATCGTCGTATCCCTAACCCTCCTCGCCTTGCTCTCAACCTACATGATCTCCATCGGCTGCGTCCTGCTCAAGCGTATCCGGAAACAAGAACTGCCTCCAGCAAGGTGGAGCCTTGGCAAATGGGGCCTGCCCATCAACGCTTTTGCATTCGCTTATTCTGGATTCGTGATCATATTTAGCTGCTTCCCGAATTCGGTGCCTGTGACGACGAGCACGGCTAACTGGGCGCCATTGGTGTGGGTTGGGGTGATTGGGGTTGCGGCAGTGGTCTACTTAGCTCACGGCAAGAAGCTGTATACGCCTCCTGTTGCTTTTGTGGAAGGGAGAAAGCAGGCTGGGGTTGGTTTGCAAACAATTTGAACGTCATTGATACTGGAGTCTGGATTGACAAGGAACAACATATCGCATCACGCCAGAGCGCTGGTAAGTTATATGCTATTGCATAAAGACAACCCCTTCCCAAAATTCTTGTGCTTTAGAGTGATCGTTTAATCTCGTTTCCTATATCTGATGTTACGAGGAAGAACCATACCCCACACAATGAGCGCGATTGGGAGTCCGCTGACCCGAAAGGACTCAAATCAACGGAAGATCTCAGACTCCAAGCCTGTTTGCGCCTTACCGGTCTACTCTCTCTTGTACCAATCCGGATAAACCTCTCATCCCAGCAACCCAACCTACCATCTACCCCATAGCAACCAACAACCCCTCGCCCCTCACAAAGAACCCAGTCGCCTCCCCCCCGCGATCATCCCCTCTTCCACCCCCAAACCCTCGACGCGTACAGAAGTAATCCCATCTATCCCCCCACAAACCATCCGTCCTCCGCACCCAACTCCGCCGTCGTCCAAGCCTCTCTTCACTACATCTCAGAGTCCTGCCAATGTCTTCGCTTGTGGAAGTCCCGGAGCGAAAGCGCTACCCTACCAGCCACCCAAACCTGCGATAGTCACGGGAATGCTGAAGGTCTTCAGCTCTGAGCTTCCACGGCGGTCTTACTTACGACGATCATCTTGGCGGTCAGGCGGAGAGTTACAAGAGCGACACTTCTCCCTGCTATGGACCTTGTCGAGAGACCTATGCATTTGCAGGGATGGATATCGGTACCGGAATCGTACGTCAGTGGCTGGTAAGATACGTGGCGAGCGGGTGGCAGATAGCTGAAAGGGGGCAAAGACAACGGGGAGCGGGCTCCAGTAGACCATGAATCAAAATTGCTCCACAAACGCCGAATGACGAAGACCTAGTGACGTTGTATCGGGCTGGGCCGCCGAAGACGAAGAGAGCAAATGCCCCCCCCCAATAGCGCATAACTCTTCGCAAAATATTCCCAGCGTTGCCGCCACTTCGTCCAACGCGCAGCTCAGAAAACACCGCCAACATCGAACGAGATATTCATGCCCGCCCGCGTAGCTGATCACAACGAATCGCTGGTCAAGATGCTGCTAATGCAAATATTAGCATCAGGGATCTCGAGCCACAACTATCGTCCTATCTTCGGAGTGTATGTCGATCCCGTCCCGTCGCCCGGAGAGGATGCCGTGGGTCAAGTCGTTGCTATTACGTTTTGGCACAGCATCTGCGCTGACGATGATGTAGGTTGTGGTGAGTAAGAGGCCCGATAGTTAGTGGAATAGATCGATCTCTCTTTCGATGATATACACACTATGTACTACTTATCAACCAAACAATAATTGAACCGAAAATCGATGTCGGAAAAGCGCTATACTCATCAGGGTCCATTCGGTTCCCACCTTTAGCCCTAGCGGTTCACAACTTCGTATCTGGAGTAAACCCGTCCCACAGGCAGGTAACAATCCTGCGTGAAACTCCCCTGCGGCTAGGGTCCAACGACAGTCCCCAGCCGGAAACAAAAACAAGACCCCTCGGGGACGCTGAGTGGGTTGGCAACAATTTGCTTGCTGGCTAAGCCCGAAGGACCTTGCGTTGTTGAAAGCCCGCGCCGAGGGTGTCCTCAATTGCGTGGAGGGCTCCGCCAGGAGGTTGATCAATTTCAAGAAGAGGGAGAACGAAACAAAACGAGCGCCATTGAATGAAAATGGGAGCGCAAAGAAATATAGTACATGAAGACGAGGGGCCGGTGAGGACACGACCATATATGGAACGCACACAGATCTGTTCCGAAAACATCGAACTTTTCATTGAAAACCGATTCGTGGGTTGCGGCATGACATGCATGTCGTCCAGCCTTGGTTCTCCGCAAATCGATCAAGAGCAACGCGGCCTCATGTTAGCAGCATGCGCGAAGCGAGCTTGAACCTGAAACCGAGGAGGCCAAGTTAGACATATGTACATCGGAAGGCTGCAGTAATTGCAGCATGACCGGTGCCTTTTTGCATCCTTGACCTACGGCAGACCCCACGAGAGGAGGCACACACACTAGGCTGCGGACTATCCTTTACTAGAGGCGGCCAATCGAGGAGCTGCGATGATTCCAGGCAGCTCGCTCCAGGTCTGTTCCCTTTGTGCCTGACTGAAGGTGGGACATACAGTGGGGTGGGACGCCTTGCATCAGAGACGGCGAGGCGCATATCAAGCGCACTTGGATTTGCGTTCGAGTGGGATCCGATTGGACACACATCTTGCGGTGCAACCATTATCTCCGCTCTTGATGGAACGGTATGGGACCGACACGCTGGCTTCCTGCATTGCAGCTTGTAAGCCGGGGAAGGATGTGGCATCGGGACTGCGCCCCCTTTTTCTTTCACTTGGAGTCTCGGCAACCAATGGAACGGATCGAGGGTTGTCGACCGAGGGCTGTGTCTTCTCATCCTATGCATTGTGAATTATCGTCGTTGCGGCATATGAGACCGCAGCAGGGGTGCCGTCAATAACGGGGCTGATATCTCTGCGATAGTCCCTAGTCAGCACTCAAAATCAATTCCCAGAGTAAGTCTAGTGCCCTTTCGCATGGCTGCGGTATCTCCTGGGAGGGCTTTAAGAGGCGTGAAATATTGCAAAAACGTTTCATCCCACGCGGACGAGGATTGATGAGCTCGCCAGATGGCGCAGGCGGCCTCCAGGCAGGGTCTCCTCGGTGCCGTTGCGCTTTCTCGAAGCATGACGCTTTTCGAACCTGGTCCACAGACTACACCGACGAGATCAGAGACGAAAATTCTCAGAATGGCTACACCCAGTGATACTACACCCAGTGACATTCAGTGATAGCTTGATCATATCCATGATAATGGATCAAGCGCTATCGTGATCTCGCACGAAGGTTGTTCTGCCAGTAGTTTTCATAGCAGTCATATTGCGATTCGTATCAAGACGCATTTGCAAGGCTTCGATCAAAGCCGATGACTATATGATCATTCTGGCGGTGGTAAACCGTTTTCTTCGAACTGAATACGGTTATCTATTTTCGAGCACGGAGTGTCGACTGATTTATACTTCTATTTGTCGGCGATCTTGGAAACGGCCGGCGGTCTGCACTGTAAGCTCATCTGGTATCGGCAGGGAACACCGCGCGGACTACTGACGAGACTCTCCAAATCTAGACGTCGTTGCTAGGGCTGCAAAGCACGTCATCATTCTCGAAGAAAGTCGCTATTTTTTCTCGCACCTGCCATACCATAGCTAAGAGGTTGCTCTTTATCAATCGTCTGTATCGTCAGCATATATCGCGTCCCAAAAGTGTGGGATCCTGCGCTTTCTGATCCAGGATGTACGTCTCTCCTGAGTCGAAGCATCCCATTTCCCGTACTGATACCCATATAGGGACTGATACAAACACATGTGTCTTGTCCGACATAGAGGTCTGTGTCGCAACATTATGCGGGTGTTTACCGACTTTGAGGGCTCTGCGCACTTCACAAACGGCGCGATTGTGCAGGATCTGATCGTGTGAATCTGGCGTACTGGTCATCTGTAAATGTAGAAGAGACCAATCGGGTCAAGTTTCAAGTAGTGGATGATAAGGGCCTTTACCCTTCAAAGTGTTCCTCGAGTAGCTTCGCGGAAGTCACACGGTTAAGCAAGCCACAGACGAATAGATTGGACCCAATTCGGCTGAACTCCTACATAACTTGTAGCCTACGTAGACCGTCACACCCATAGAATCTGGGACACATTCTTTGACCCAGCTCCTGCGAAGTACGCTAAGAAATGGAAATTGAATTGCGCAAGTTGCTTTGGGAATACTGTTGGGACATGGGACCATCAATGGTACCACGCACTCACCTCGCCATTCCGCAAGCAACGAACTGAATGCATGACACGATGATCTTCGAGCCGGCGTCGATCTTCATATCATCGGTCATTCTTTGAAGCTTGCCACTCGTGGCATTTTTGGAGGTAGCAAATTCGTTTGGTATGACACTCTGTAGATATCCACTGTTTGGAAGCGATTGATGCGTCCATGTTTCTCGCAAAAACTAACAATTCTGACGATCTGTCTGCTATCAAAGAGGTGCAGTTGGCGTGACGGTGCGGAGACCTTAGGCGCAAGAAGGAGAAAGACAAGCGCGACGCGTTGGCGGCAGACTGGTTTTTTTTGGGCACGCAAGTGAGATGAAATTCCTGTGGTAAGCTCCTCTACTCGTAGACCTCCAAGCTTTCGAATCTCGACAGTCAAAAAGACATTTGGTGTGTACATTTTTCGGGGCCCAACAGGTACCGCTTGGAAAGTTGTGCTGTACCGCCTCAATATACGTACCGCCTCAGTATAGTTCCAACACTTGGTGAAGGATCATACATGCGCCCGCCTCATGGAGCTCTTGTTTGAGGCGCATTTGTTTCAAAATCGGTCCATCTCCAGCCTGGATGCTTTCCAGATGAATGAGGCTGTTGACAATCTTGGTGATTCTCATATTCTCGGTGGGGTAGAGAAGTGACGCGTACAAGGATTTGTGTGGCCGAGAGTCTGAGCGGTGGCCTTGAAGTACCTGCAGCGGCTTAATACATTTCGGGAGAATCGCATGACCGAAAGTCTTAAGAAAGCGGTGGACAGTGGACTCAATTGGTGGCCGGTGAGTCGGTAGATCGCTAAGCGAAATTGCGATGATGTACCCGGCGGCCTAAAACAGCGGCCTAAAACAAAAATGGTTTCCTGTCTCCAGGGGTTATTGGATGCCGGAAAACATGTTCGGGAACTCCAGGTCCAATGAATTTTGGCGCCCAGACTCTAACCCCCGGTCACACAACGGCTGTGCCTGCATCAACCTGTCACTGTCTGTCAGCATGTCGCGTCGTGTAGTACAAAGCCTTCCCATTCCCCGGTCTGCATCATGCTGTCTTCTTTTCCCTAGCAAACTGTTGATCCAGTTCGCATTTGGTTGATCCAAACGCCTCCGTACGCCTTCGGTTAAAATACAAACATTCTCTACCGGATATAAATATATCCACAGTCATTCATTAAATATGTTGTTTACATCACAGTCAATCTTTTTTGCCATTTCCGCGCTGTTTTCCACCCTCCAGGCGCAACCACATGGCCATATCCACCACCATGGCACCTCCAAACGCGCAACTGGCGTCGTGAGCGGTCGTGGAGTTGTCTACGCGGATGGGAACTCTGGCATGGCTGCGTTGGGTGGCAAGGTCTCTTGGTCCACCGACTGGACTCCCTGGGAAGACAACCCGACCAATGCCGATTTGGGCAATTTTGCGCCTCAGGCCTGGGGTCTCAACAACGCCGATGGAGACCCACAGAAGCAGTGTAAATTTCCATGTCATTCTGCGATTGAATAAGTGGTGCCGGTGTTAACGAACCTCTCCCTGGACAGTTCTCACAGCTTTTCTGGACGCAAGCTCTACATTCCCTGAAGGCGCGACTGTCCTCGGATTCAACGAGCCAGAACAGTAAGACGGGGATTCTCCTTCAATCACGCACATATCCCCTGACATCACAATAGGGTCACACAGTCCTGGATGACACCTCAAACGGCCGTCGACAACTGGGTACATATCTCCCACCTCATCCCCCACAATCCCACAGAATTGACACGCTCATCCTAGGGCGGCATCAATGACCTGAAGGCCCAAGGCCACAAAATCTGCACCCCCTGCCCCAGCAACGGCAACAATAACGGCACAAGCGGCACCGGCACGGTCACCTTGCAGTACCAATCGGGCATCGACCAAGGCACCGCCTGGATGTCCGAGTTCCTCGCTGCGGCCAAGGGTCAATACACCTTCGACTGCATCTGCGGGCACTGGTATGGTGGCCAAGACAATGATTTGGCGGCTGATCAGAGCATGATCGCAAGTCAAATGGGAGAGATGGCTGCGCTGGCCAGCGAATACGGTATCGAGGAGATTGTCATCGCAGAGATGCAGCGCGTGAACGGGGACCAGGAGGTTCGTTTCTCCTTCATCCTAGCTACCTTCCCTTCCGTGACCGGTCAACTATTGCCACTGTCCACGTGCGACATGGGTGCTGATGACCGGGATGGTTTTAGTGCGAGTTCGTAGCCTGGTTCCAGGACACATTCTTGACCGACCCTCAGTACGCCGAGAGCGGAAACAAAATCTCCGCCTACTCCTACAACTACGACAAGTTCACCCTGACCAGCGGGGACAGCTTGACGACCGTGGGCTCCGCGTAAGTCTTTCTCCATCCGAGGTCGCTGGCATGAAAGTACATTTGCTGATTCCACCACTCTAGATATATCGGAGAGGGCTCCTGTTGAAGGTACTACGGGCCACGCGCAGTAAAGACACGTCGTACTTTCTTTAAACATGACGTGAAGTATCATCATTGCATCAAGGCGCATGTGTAGAGGTCAACCAGTAAACATTCATTTTCAGGCGTCAAGCACTGTTCACGGCGTAGACCCTGACATCCTAGCGTTAGCAATTAGACAAACAACATTAACGGCCGTGGAAAAATGAAATGAACAACTTTGTACATCTAAAAGTCCTCTCGGCATCGCAATCATCGATCGACACCTCAGTCTTCTCCCAGCATCACTCCAGTGAAGCACATGCCGAAGTGAGCCGATAGAAATATTCTACCCCATATCGGATAGGCTAATCTAATTCCATCTCTCCCCTTTCGCGACACTTCAAACAACCGTCCAGCATCCTCTCACCACCCAGAAAGCAGAGTCACCATAGCAGCGCAATCAAATCTCTAGGCCACTAAGCGTCGTAGACAAAGATACCGATAGTTCACCTACGCTCCTGCTCTGCAATCCGTAAACGAAGGCTAGGAGGGATTCAAGGCTCACGTCTCCTTTCCGACATAGTCCGGACAACCGACCATCCATACCTGAAATAACCTTGACACCATTCCTAAATCCTTGCAAGATGGTTCATGATCCGTTTCGGCTCGGCTCGGCATAGTCTTGAAACTTACTGATGGTTGGGGGGGGCGAGAACAAGAAGGATTCGCCGCGCCCTATCTTTAATTTCTCCGTCCGCACAAAGCGGAATCGAAGAGGATCCACCCGCTGGTGCAAAAGCGGTATTTACACAGCTCGTACTCGTGCAGAGGTATCTCCTGCTATGGACATATGTGAATGAAACAAGCGGCTAGATACCATGAGACGCGTTACCTAACCCCCAGTCTCACTGTTGCGAGGATTCGTCTCGAAAAAAGGCTTTCGGGCATTGATTGAAAAGTGCGATATTCGTGCAAGATGCTAATGCGGAGACTTTGCTTTTTATGTCTTGATAATTGAGTTACAGCGTCGTAATGTGTGTGCGGATAAAAATAAGAGTGGGCTACTGAAGCATAAGTCGAGGCTATTCTACCAGGGGCGCTGAAAGTAAGTTGTCATTTCTACGATCCTAGATATCCTAGCGGTGTACGGACCATATAGTGTCCAAAATCCATCTTGAAGAAACGATCTAATTCATCATCCAGAACTGCCGTGTAAACTCATCACTTGGTTTGCAACCTTTCCAACGCGCCCAAGAACATGGTCAATCCGTTCCCATTCCCCCGATTGCCCTATTCAATCCGATTACACCGTTTTCACACAACGCGCCCACTCACTACTCCCAAAGATATATCTTCCCCTCCCTGCCCTCAAGTAGTCTCACTCTACTCGAAGCCACACCTTCCTCGTAAGCCGCAAACCCACCAGCATCATCAGCCAAGCCACCCACCTTCTTCAACCGAACGTGGCGAAGCCCACACCATCCTTTGAAATCCCGTTGAAAGCCGGAAACCCGTACACTCCGGCTCGATCTCCAGAAGCGATGACCACAGCGGGACTGTGGCATCACGCAGATACTGATAAGGTAGTCACCGAGATCGACCGCAACCCTGTGAGCTGCTTCTCGGCCGCGAGATACGACAACGCCTCGTTCCGACGTGTCGTGCTCGGTGTGGGATACCCCTTCCCACGCACTTCCAGCTGAATTTTATTGCAGATAGCGGCCATGGGCGCATGAGGATGCCGCGTATGATCTTATCTGCGAAGGACACGGGGCGATGTGAGGGAGAGCGCGCGTAGTGGTTTCGAGGAGAGGAAGTTTTGCTTCGTGATGGGTTTGCCGGCAGGTGAGAGATAGACCGAATTTGTCCTTGGGAGATTGGTGCGGATGTCGGAGGGGGGAGTGGACCAGCGAGAAACTTGTCGGTTCACATTTATCAAGAGGGAGGAAGGCCTTCCTGCAGCTACTGCGGATGGCCTTTGAGCCTGTACTTCCGATGTGGGAGCATGGCACGGCTGCGTCGTGAATACTCGTGCTCTGCACCGCGCAGTCCCACCTAAGAGCTGCTCTTCGTCAACAAGAAGAAATTCATGGCTGTGAAATGCATGTTCAAGATCAGATCTCCGATCTCTTTTCGAAGCTGGAGAAATGGTGACAGTGAATTACTTGGGTTACTGTATCACTCCATGGTCAGTCAAAAGAATTGTTGTAAGGGATTCCCAGATGGCAGTACACACATTGCTTCGGTGACAGGGTTGACGTGGGCTTTGTCTTTTATTTGATTTAGTGTCGACCTCGTTTCCGCTGCGTAGCTTCATCTTGTTACGAAATGGGCAACAATGACTGCTGATGCGATGTGAATAGTTGCGCTAGAGAAAAGCCTAGCTAATTGCTTTAAGTAATACTGATGTATGCATGTGATGTTTGCTGCTGTTCCATGGAACACAAGAGAGGATGTTCCAGCGTGAGAATGCCGGGATATTGGTGGGAATCCCAACAAATTATTCTCGCTTTTCAGTATCATTACTCATTCAAAGCTCCAGGCCAGCAAACTCATGCCGAGTCCAGACTACCGCCAGCCTATAATTGGCGCTGTCTTCGAGCGTTAGACCAGTTTCGAGTTAAGAAGCTCCAGCCCAAGCTCCTTGGCCTCGCTTCATATTTACGACCAGAAGCCCTGGCTCGGGCCAGAAAAGGATATCCCTATATTGAGCACTCGTTCCATTTCATATTCCAAGGGTTTATTGAGCGTCTGTGTGCTAAGAAAGATCTGAAGCAGACTTCGAACAATGGCCAGGGCCAACAGGCGAACCAGCAAGATAACAGAGGAATCAAATGCCTAGCAATTACCACTTACCGTGCATGTCTCGCTCTCAGATATCAACAAGTGTTGCTGATAAGAACGGGTTTCCCTCCTATGCTGAGAGAGTATTTTCAGACAATAGGAAACATCTGAGTTGAAGGATAATTAAGCCTTCCGGGCGCAACAGCACCTGGGAATAGAAAGTAAAGAAGAAGCAAGACTGTACGATTTCGGAACTGGAACGTGTGCATTTCCACGTTGAGCAGCAAGGCTTCTGTCTCAAGTCGCGTACCATGTTATCGAAGGATGGATTGTGGGGTGGGCCGGAAGAGGTTGCGCATAGCGGACTTATTCGATTTATTCCTAAACACGCAAAAGACAAAGAGGAAGGAAACGAGCAAACTCTTCTACGCCGGAAGTGTAGTCCCAACAAAAACAACCAAAACAGCGGCATAAGCGGCAGTCGCCGTCAGGATGTCTTTCGGCTCGGCTCTATCCATCGACCAAGCCAGAATTAGGCCAACTGCGAGCACGAACAGTGAAGTTGTAAGCAGCGTAGTCAGCAACGTACGGTGAAGTGTCATGATGAGCATCGGCACCACAACCGCCACGCCACCAAACAGTGCCATCCTTACCCTGTTCAACAACTCTTCGATCAAACGCTGCTTTGTATCTTCTCTATAATTACGACCACCCTCACCCATGTAGTCCGAAACGTGAAGCCGTGGCTTCTGGGGCAATTCCTTGACGAGGTTTGCGTCCACCATAATTGCGAGATCGCTGGGATCGTAGGCGTTTAGATAGAGCAGGTCTTGTAGGGATTTGGCGACTTTCGGATCCTTGCTAGGCATTTCGAGCATGTATTTGAGGTCACGCAGTGCAGTGACTAACCCCATACGTCAATCGGAGGGGGCAAGTAATGAGGAGCAGACGCATCACCTCGTACCATAGTCTTTAAGCGTCTCCTGTACGCGATCCATTTTTGCCTCTGTCGTGGTCTTCGAACTCATGATATCTTCCGCCAGTATAGCTAACTTCCGCTTAAGATGTATGATCGTCATATGCTGCAAGGTTCGGATGCGGACTGTAGGCACACCGCGAAATCCGTCCTCGGTAAACAAGGGACAAATTTTCTCTTCTTTCATTACGTCGTTGAAGGCTGCGTTATAGAGCATACGAAAGAAGTCTTCAGTGCCTTGGAAGGATCGCCCTACATGGATGTCAATACCATTTGCCCAGGCGTAGCATGTGACATAGGGCAGTGACTAGGAATGCTCGATAACGCAAGCTAGTGGTGTAGAGTTGAGCTAGCAAAATCGTTCTTGACTCGTCCCAGAAAGAATAGTCGAAAAGGTGATAAAGGGGGAAATGGGATACACACTTCTGCCGTGATCCGTGCCATTCTCCACATCATTGTCCAATGGCATCTTCAAAGGAATGCAAGAATACTGGCGCGTATCTCGTCAAGTGGACTGGAATGTTCTATCGCAAGAGTAGTGGAATATCTGAAATATGTTCTACAAATGTATTCTCCAAGGATTGCTATTGGTAACGTTTTACATCAGGTCAATATGGCTTTATGAGTCGTAGAGAGGGAAAATATTAAGGCTGCGAAAGTCGAGGAGGTTAAAAGATTTGATAGGGCTGAGTTTATAGCTGAGGATAATAGGACCCTACTTCTTGGCTCGCTGCAGGACGGATTCATCGCCACAGCTTGACTGGGGGCTAGTGAGGGAGAGGCACAGCACACTTATGCCAGGATTGCCGAGATTGAAGAGCCTTGAATAGGCCGTGTCCCTCCTGTTTTTTGCTCTTCATTCTTGTTCCTCTCGTCGCAAGAAGAGGTTTTTACACTTTTTCTTTCCTGACATCAGACGAAAGGAATTTTCATTTGGAAAACACATTATTCTTCTCCTTAAACCATTGCTATTCAGCCACTACCAATGGCCCCCAAGCGTCCTCGCAAGCCTACCGCAAAGGCCATAGCTGCACGTCAGGCTGCTCGCCAAATATTGTTTTTTTAAGCTTACTTCGCTTAAAGAATTAGTTATATAGTTATTAATTAATAGAATAATTATTATAATTAAAAATTTATATATATAAGATTATCGAGAGTAATCTATTCTTAGATTTCTTAGATTTATTTATTATTCTAAATATTATTAGTAAAATAATCTAATAATAGTATTAGAATTAATATAAATATTACTTATTAATATAAATATATTAAAAAAGATAATTAGATATAGAATAATTATATAAAAAGAAGATATTAAATAATATATAGATATCTCTATTAATATACGCTAACTCTCGATCCCCACCGCCATAACAATCCATATCGTATGTCAGAATCTCGGCGCCGCGATCTTCTTGACACTAGCGCAGACCGTCTTCAGCAACAGCCCGCACTCGGCGATCACGAAAGACGCGCAGGGCGTCAGCACCAACGCTCTGCTCGCGGGCGGGGCGCGTATGATCAGGACGTTGGTGTCGGTGCCGCAGTTGCCTGGGATGTTGCGGGCGTTCTGCAAGGCTGTGGACTCGGTGATGTATATAGTGCGCGCGGGGGTTGGGGCGGAGGGATATTAGGAAAAAGAAGTAGTTGGGTGTAAATTAGTGAAGGCAGGGTTGTTGGCGGCATAGCGCTTTCGAAATTGTTCAAGATATGTAGAGACGATAATAATGACCTTATATTTCGACACGATTGGCTTCGGGGTTTCGGCAAGGGGACCTCTCGGCTTGAATAAGGACTTCGTGGTAGCTTGAGTAACACCGTCCAGTGTACCGCAAGTCTCAGTCCACCATCTTCTAAGTGACAGTCGTGTCAGAAAATAGTGATAGGACGTCACATAATACGGGGTATTGGCATTGCTTTGCACACATACATTCGTTCCGCAGCTGCATATAGAATCTTCAACATCAAACCTCGACAAGTCCTCTTTTAACTTTGAAAGTTAGACTTATATTCGTGATTGTACAAGGTGTCTGTTACGCGACGGACACTAGCATTTTGGTTCTATTTATTTATGACTTCAAGGATAGGCCTTGGAGCATTTCGATCGTGATACCCAGATTTAACGTATATAGTATGGTCCTGTCCCATTCATTGGTTCTTCAAGAAGGATCCTTTTGCAGAATCTCTCCCATCTTAAGACCCCGAGGTGGCCTTAGCAAACACCTTGGCCGCGTAACCTTGCTCCACCATTCCCTTGGCGACAGCAGTCCGCTCATCGAAGTCTTCTTTAGGCAGTCCAAGCTTCGCATTGTCAAGACCGCGGGTGCTCTCATAATCGCCCCCACCGTTGGGGAAAAAAGCCCTGACGAACGAGGCCATCGCCGCGCCCATGCGCGTAGACATGGGGTCCTGTGCGCTCTTCATCGCCTCTATGCCCTTCTGATAGCGCTCCTTGCTGTGCTCCTTTTCGATCGTCCAGTCCGAGTCCTTATCACCAGAGACGCGCTTCCAGCTCTCGAAAATGTCCCTCTGACTGACCAAGAAGCTGGAGATGACGAGCGGCTTGTTGCGCCATGTGTTCACCGTCAGGCTCTTGTCATTCGCATCCTCGGGCAGCTCCTTTAAGCTCAATAGAGCGGCAACGGCGCGCGCGCACTGCTCCCACGTGGTGAGATTGATCTTGGTCGTGCCATCGTCGTACAAAGTGAGCTTCTTGTTGGCAAAGTCAAACCCGAACCAGATGGGGCCCATGGCAAGACTGTACTCGTACCACAAGCTGCAGATCACGGAGGTCCAGGAGCAGCCGGCGCCCTCGATCTCGGGGAGCATGCTCTTGAAGTCGGTGCTCAGCAGAGTTTCCTTGATTAGAGCTTCGTTGGAGTAGTCCAGGCCGAAGAGGTTGGGCATGATGTGCGGGACTCCGGCTTTGGCGGCCGCCTGAACGATCTGGGAATGGACGTCTGGCGGAGCCATGGCGGCGAGGGTGATGACGAGGAATTGCTGACCTTTTAGGGCGGCGACAAGGGTCGACTCGTCGCTATAGTCAACGGGGATCGCCTTGACGCCGGACGGGACTTCGTTCTTGCTGCCGTGACGCGTCAGGGCGGTGACGTTGTGCTTGCCGCTCTTGACGAGGGCTTGGGCAATGTGCTCGCCCATTTGGCCGCTCGCCTGTGTGTCAATTTAGTAGGCATGTGTGTGTGGTGGATGTGAGTGATTAGGGGATATGGAGAGAGTGTCGCGCAAAGAATGGCAGCTAAACTTACCCCGACGATAGCAACCCGCTCAATGCGGTTAGTAAAGCCGGCAGGCATATCTCTGGCGTACTTTGAAGCCATATGTCAAGCAAAGTTGCAAGTCTCTAACGCCGTAGCGGTGTCCTTCAAGGAGGAAGTCGAGTAGCGTCTTAGGCCGCGACAAGGCTCCTCCGTAATGACTGAAAATGAAGTGACGCTCACGTGCAAGTACTGCGGAGGCGGACACACGATGTGCTCGTGGTAGCTACGGCAACCCAGAATAACCTCTTGATGACAACTTTCCCAATCACCATGTGAAAAGTGGATGGTTTGTAAAAAGAAATGTTAAAAAAAGGGAAAAAAAAAATGCTATATTATTGAGCTATAGAAAGTAGATACATACGTATTCAAAGCACTTAGTAAGGCTAGTACCTCTTTAATTAGCTTTAGGGGACGCCTATACCCCTATAACTATATCGAATAAGGCTAGCTAGCCTTAATAAGACTATAATAGCTACAATTTTAAGAAGCACGCATTTATACTAAAGTTATCGATAAATACTATACTAAAAATAATAGATGAAGGCTAGAAACTATTAATAGACGAAGTAGCTACTTGCTCTTAGGGCGGCGATAGTATTTATAGAAAGGGCGAATAATAAATTTAAAATTTAAATAGTCTTAAACGAAGTATATAAACTAGTTATTAATTTAAGTAATCGAGATAGTAATATAGAGGAAAAGATTATATATATTAAGTATTAGATAGCTAGTCTAGAAAGTAATATATCGACGACTAACTACGTTAGCGTATTAGATCGATTCTCAATATTCTTCTTTATTATCGAAGAAATCTTTATTATATTATTAGTAATATCGAAATAAGATTAAGTATTATATAATAAGCTAAACGAGATTATTATAAAGCTATAAGACGAGATAGTAAGTAAAGTATTAAAGGGGAAGATATCGAGCGAGATAACTACGATAATTAATAAATATATAAAGAGTATAAATATTATAAGAAAATCTATTAGAACGGCTAGAAGGCTAGCGAGTAGCGATATATATATTATAGCTATAAATAAGAAGAAGGCGAATAGACTAAGAAAAAGTAAGGATTAAACTCTAAAGATAAGTGGTAGCGCGAGAGTAATTACTAAAATATATAGTCTTTTACTCTATAAAGTAAGAATTAATATATTCGATATTAAAGATATAGCTATAGTAATTAAAAGGATTTAGAATAAGAATATTAATACGCTAAGCCTCGATATAGTATAGCTAAACTAGTTCGGCGCGAATAAAGAGAGTTATAATAAGAGTTTATTAATTATCGAATTAATATTTCTAGAGAAAGAAAATAAAGTACTAGAAGAAGGCCTAGTTATCGATTCGAAACTATATGATTATTACGTCTATAATAAGTAGTATAGATCGAAGTAATACTTCGTATACTAGAAATACGATTATCTATCGACTATATATCCTAAAAAGAATTACTTAGTATACGGGAAATACTTAGAAGAGTATTATTATAAAGAATATATAGCCGATACTCGTAAATACCCAGTTTACGAGGGATTATATAAGGCTTAAAATAAGATATATTTAGTAAAGAAGAGGGAGATAGCGAGAATAAGAATAGCGAGATAATAAACTCCTTTACGATTTATAATAACGAAGGAGACATTAGCTAACTATTAAATAAGCGATTAATTAAATAACTACTTTTAGAATACGTTTAATCGTAGGCGAAATAAGGAATTTTTTCTAAGGCTAATATTTACGCGCGATAGGCTAGTAGATAGAGATAGAATAGTTAATAAGAGAGGAATTAGAGGGCTAAACCTCGAAAGAATTATTATATCGAATCTTTAGCTAAGTAAAAGAAGATATACTTTTATATTATTAATAAGGGCCTTACTTAAAAATAGATCGCTCTTTAAAGTAGTAAACGAAGCTAAATAATATAAGAATGATATAATAATAGAGGAAATTAATAATTTCGAAAATGATAGATAGCCTTTAAGTTAAAAGAGTAGTAATAAGAGAATTACGATCCCTCGTTAATGGGAATAAAAAGAGATATATTCGATTTATCGACGATTAAGAAAAGGAGAATACTTAGAAAGAAAATATAAACTCTATAAACTAGGCGGAGCGAGTAAGTAATATTAATAATAATATCGAGAAATAATAGTATATCTTAGTTAGCTATTAATACTATAATATAATATAAGAAAATTTAGAATAATTATAATAGAACTCTTCGATAATAAAAAGATCTATAATATCGATATAGTAGTAATTTAGAAGCTCTAGAGAAATATTAATATAAATATATCGTATTATTCTCTAAAGGATAGATTTAATTTAATCTACTTCTATTATAATAATATACGAGTATACTTCTATATTAATAAGAGAATATTATTAAAGTAATAATATTTATTATATTACTTATCGAACCTCTATACTCTTAATATTAAATTCGAAAATAATAGAATTATACGTATATATAATATTTATAACCTCGACGACTAATAAATAGATGAACTTAACGAATTATATAAGACGCTTATAAAGTTTAAGAATAATAAATAGATTATATTAGGCGACTTTAATCTTTATTATACGATATAAGGGGGATTAAATACTTATATCGATAAGAGAGTAGAAGAATTAATATTTATAGCGAAAGAATTTATTATAAAATAAGTATTGCTAGTAGAAATAATAATATATAAAGAAAACTATTAAATAATAATAGATCTACTATTCGCTACTTTAGTATTAATAATAAATATTATTAACTATAATATCGAAAATAATTTCGAAAGCGAATCTAATTATCTTTTAATTCTTATAAAGCTTAAGCTAGCCGTTATAATGAAGTTAGTATTAATAATACGCCGAAACTTTAATAAATTAAATGCCGAGGTTCTAAGAGAGATACTCGCTAGAGCTATAATATCGAAAGAGTATCTAGTTAATTCCTCGAGGAATAATAAAAATCTTATTAACGATAATATCGATTATTAAATAATAACTATTATTAACTCTATTTAAGCGGCTATAGAGGAGTTTACTTCGATTATTAGATTATTACTATAATTTAAATCGAGATTTATATTAGAATATAAGAAAGTATAAAGACGTTATAAATCGCTAAAAAGAAGCTAAAGAATAACGCTCTTAAAGAAAGTATAAGATAAGTATAAAGTCGCTAAGAACTTTAAAAATAATCTAATTAAGAGAACTATTAGAAAGGCGTTTAGAGAGTTTATAATAGAGGCGTATAAGTCGCTATAAATAATATAGAAAAAGATTAAGTAGACTAGAAAATAACTTATAATATAGACGTATCTCCCTTCGCTATTTAATAAAGATAAATAAAAATATAACGAACTAGGTCTAAAGGTAGATCTTCTTATAAGAACGTTCTTTTTATTATCGATATAGATAAAGTTAAATAATATTAACGTCGATATAACGTATTTATAAGTCTATCTAATAGATATAATTATCGTAAATAAGATAAGAAAGGCTATAACGTAAATATCGTTAAAGAGAGTATCGAGGGGAGACGCGATCTCTAATCTAATTCTTAAGAAGATTCTAAAGTCGTTACTTTCTTATCTATATAGAATATTTAATATATATATAACGAACGGTTACTATCTAGAGCACTTTAGAATATCGATAATAATTATTCTTTCGAAGCCGAGTAAGAATTACTTGATTTCTAAAGGATATCGACTAATAGCTCTACTTAACACTATAGAAAAGATAATAAAGTTTATTCTTACTAGGAGAATAGCGTATCTTACGAAGATATATAAACTTCTATCGACTATATATATAGGAGGCCGTAGATTACGATTATATAAATACGGTATTTACTATCTTCTAGAAAGAATATATTAAATCTAAAACTCTAATAAAGTAACTACGATATTACTACTAGACGTTTTAGATATATATAATAAAGTCTCTTATCCTCGACTACTCTATAATCTTCGAAAGCGAAAAATCGATATAAGAGTAGTTAACTAAATAGAATCGTTCTTATTTAATAGAATAATAGTATTAAAAATAAGCGAATACTCTATATTAAAGACTTTTATAGCAATCGAAATTCCTTAAGAATTACCGCTATCGCCTATACTTTATCTCTTCTATAACTTAAATCTTATCGATAAATATAATAATCGCGTCGACTTAGAAATAATAGTTATCGACTTTATAGACGATATAAGTCTTCTAATAGTAGAAGACTTTATCGAGAAAAATTATAACGCTTTTTATAAAATCTACGACGAAGTTTATATAAAGTAGGCGTTACAATATAAATCGAAGTTTAATTCTAATAAATATTAACTACTATATCTTAGTAGAAAATAGAGATTTAGCTTAAATTATTCTCTATAACTTAATAAGAGATAATATATTAAGGCGAGACGCTTTATTCGCTATCTAGAAGTCGAAATTAATTTTAAACTTCTATAAAGTTATTATAATAAGAAGATTCGATCTAAAACTACTAAAAGTATCGATATACTAGCGAGAATTATCGAATTAATATAGAGTAATAATTATAAGAGTATAAGATAGCTCTATTAGGCGGTAATTATCTTATAAATAATATATTACTACTTAGTATAATATTAGCTCGAAGATACTATCGACTATAATAAAACTTATCTCTTATCGCTATAAAGAATTTAATCTTAGATAGAGAGAAAGATAACTAAAGTATTTAAGGTTATATTTATTTTAGTACTCGATATAAAAGCGTATTTTCTATTAGTTAAATAATAGCTAGATAAGATTATCTCGAAAGCTATCTTATAAATCGCTATTAGTTTAATATATAGCGAGATTATTAAGTTATAATTCGAGCGATAGAAGTTTAAAAGAAAACTTAAGAAGAATAGGAAACTAAGTTTATTAAAGCGATATATTAATAGATTCGAAGAACGATACGGCGATATTAATAAGATTAAGAAACTACGCTCTTTCAGCGCCGCCCTCGATTAAGAGCCTTTTAAAATAATAATTTATAAGATTAAGAAAGCCGCTAAAGAACTAGCTAAAAGATCGATTAATAAGGGATATATAATAATATATATGAGACGATAGCGGGATTAATAAAAAGGTGAGAGCTTTAGCTATATTATTAAATATTAATTCTACTTTTAATATCTATTTAAGCTTAAGCGACTAATATACGATATATTCGACGAAGTTATATAATATTCTTTAAGCTCTAACTATAATAGTTATATACTAAATAAGGTTATAACTTAGTAAAATTATAGTAAATACGAATAATTAAATATCGATTTAGGCTATCGAAGACTTAAGTAAGTATTTAAGATAGATCTATATGATATAGATAGTATAGATTATTAATTCGCTAAGATATCTCGGGGTAGTAATAGAATTATACTAGATTTCGACATATATCGATATCGATAATAATAAATAGGCGAGATAGAAAGGCGAAGAGAGGTTATTAGCTAGCGAGAGCGAGTAATTTATAATAAAAGAGTAAAGGTAAATACTAACGAAATAGCTTAATTATTAATTATATAGATAAGAATAATATCGACAATTAAGATAGCTATTAGAGACTACGCGATAAAATAATAAACTATCAAATAGGCTAACGAGAAGCGAGGCGGTATTCTTAGAAGGATTTAATTAACATCGTTAAAATAAATATAACTTCTATATTCGAGAGTTAAGCGCGCTAAGATATCGCTAATAACGTAAATAAAGATCGAGAAAATAGATCTTAAGGCCTTTCTTTATAATCGATAAGTATCGAATATAGAGAATAAAGAATACGAGTATAAAGCGAAGTAGACGACTCGATATATTCTTTACAAATATAGGCTATTTAGTAAGAAGCGAGGAATATAATAAGTCGAAGAAAGAAGAAAGATGAAAGAGAAGATTATTACTTATAAAGATATATTAATAAAACCACGCTACGCCTCTATAGCGGCGGACTTTATAAGGAGTATTAAGCTTATTAAGTAATATTAAGCCCTTAATAAGAACTAATAATAAGGATTTACTAGAGTAAGCGGTTAAAAAGAAGGATACGATTAAGACGGGAGGGCCTCAGCGATATAGGGTATACCCCTTCCCAAGGATCAAGTACAACAAGACGCAGAACCATGACGGTGACTTATATAGCCTCATTTATTTAAGATTATATGATTGGCCGAAAGGATTAGATAGATTATGTAACTCGCATAGTCGGCTACTAGGGCAAGACTTCAGGGTAGTATAATGTAATCAATCAATCAATCAATCAATCAATCACCCCCCAATCATATATACAAATCACAATGACTGCTCCTCCACCTGCCCCACCTAAGAGCTTGCTAGCTCGCCATCGAGTACTAGCCCCTACAGCTGCCGTACACGTCAGCCCGATATGTCTAGGTGCCATGAACTTTGGCAACGCCTGGAAGAACATACTGGGCGAATGCAACAAGGAGACTGCTTTCGAAATGCTCGATTACTTCTATGAGCAGGGCGGCAACTTCATTGATACGTGAGTATCCCTCAATGCATGTCTTAGTCTCTACACCGAGAGCAGCGTTGATGATTCGTGTAGGGCAAATGGCTATCAAGCCGAAGAATCAGAGACATGGCTGGGCGAGTGGATGGCCAAGACTGGACGGAGAGACGAGATAGTCCTCGCGACCAAGTACTCCTCCGGATACAAGAATACCTCCGCGCCCGGGTTGATGCAGTCCAACTTTGGCGGCAACTCGGCCAAGAGTCTACACGTCTCCGTGGAAGCCAGTCTGAAGAAGCTGCAGACCTCCTACATCGACTTGGTACCCCCCCACACCCTCTCGTCCCCGCTTCTTACTCTTGTGGAGGATCATCGCTGAGCTTTGTCTTCTCCCCCAGCTCTACGTACACTACTGGGACATGCACACCTGCATCCCCGAAGTAATGCAGTCCCTCAATCACCTTGTCTCCTGTCGCAAAGTCCTCTACCTCGGCATATCCGACACTCCCGCCTGGGTTGTCGCAAAATGCAATGCCTACGCCCGTCAGTACGGCCTGCGCCAATTCAGCGTATACCAAGGGAAATGGTCCGCCGCCGAACGCGATTTTGAGCGGGATATCATACCTATGTGCATGGACGAAGGGATGTCACTGGCGCCGTGGGGCGCGCTAGGGGGTGGGTATTTCAAGCCGAAGGAGCAGATTGGGAAAGATGGGGGGAGGAATTTGCCACATGTGAAAGCGCAAAATGCTGAGCAGGTGTCTGATGCGCTGGATAAGATTGCCAAGAGAAAAGGGACACTGGTTACGAGTGTGGCGTTGGCTTATGTGATGCATAAGGCGCCGTATGTGTTCCCGATTTGTGGTGGGAGAAAGGTGGACCATCTCAAAGGCAACATTGAAGCACTGGGACTGCAGCTCAGTGAGGACGATATGCAAGAGATTGAGCAAGCATATCCCTTCGACGTTGGGTTTCCACACAACATGCTGGCTGGCGGACCAAATGCTGCGAAAGGGCCGCAAGACAACGTGATTTCGAAGAGGCTGGGCCACATAGACTACGTAAAAGCTCCGCAGCCAATACCACCGCAAGAGCTATAGGTGGGTGCAATAGTACAAGTGGCCGTGTTGGGACGAGGTATCGTATACCATAAGGAACCTATGGATCGTATCCGAGTGAGGTGTACTAGTACTTACTATGCTGATACCTACGGACTGCCTTCCCCTTCCGCTCGCATAGCTTCGACTGTTTCATTCTTCCAGTATTATGCAGTGGACTCTACTCCCAGCTCCTCAACGTCAGCTATACAGCCATGGTCACTGACACCGCAAGAGCGGACAACGTTCCCCAAAACATTCCCAGCTACAATGAACCACATCCCCCCAACGCTCTCGCCATGCTCCCAACCTGAATGGTCCCCTGTTTCCAATTATCTCAACGACCACATCTCTCGCAAAACGATTGCCTGCGTCCCCTCCAAAAATCCCCACCAACTTGTCCGCCATGGAACTGAGCGCCAGGCTGTCTCAAGCCCTCGGCATCAAGATCCGCCGCCTTTTTCTCCACACGAACAAATGCAATGGCGATACCCGGCCGTGTACAATGCAAGCAGGTCACCTGTGCGGGTCGCCGAGTGTGGGCCCGGCACCGACGGGCGAATGCATCTTGCTATTGGGGCCAGACGGTAGCGAGCGTATTCGTGCGTTATGTGGCAAGGCGTAGGTTGCGATTGTACGGCCTCGTCGCAATGAATACGGCTTGAAGCAGGTAACACACGATCTCATTGACTCATTTCCATCTCACTCGAAATATCTCAATGTTTGCACGTCAGCAATCTTCCGTGGGTCCGCCGAGCTGTATAGTACGTCGCAAGCGAATCTGTCTCCGGAAACTGCTGGCGAATGAGTTGTAATCGCGTACGTATCCACTGTCCGTGATATATGAACCTCACTTTTCTGCTACAGTCGCCCAAATTTCCAGCATCACTCCTCTATATATGAACTCAGACTGTGTACAGATGCCAGAACATGAACCTCAGAACCCTGGATGGACCAAGGAATGAGAAGCCCTCCGTCTCGTCAAAAGAGAACATTCTTCTGATCAAGCATTCTGTACTTCTTTGTTCACAACATCAAGCTACTGTTCTCCAGAGCTTCCACCTAATCAAGCGTTCTATAAGGGTCTGAGTCCTGCCGCCACTTCGCTCAGACTTGATAGCCCACCTAAAGGCTTTGGTAATAGTCTGGTTCTTCGGAATCGACTTAGTGGTTTGGTTATGCTTTGTGAAGTCTGTCCTTCGCTGGGAGATTTTGGCTCCCCGGGCGTTTCCGAAGAGGGTGGGTGCCGTGGGGGGGCTTTGATGCAGACTGTACTCTGCCGTTTTCATCTACTTCAGCTCCTCCTCCTTCCCGATCTCATTTAGACCCACCTTCTAGTCGTATAGATCAGAATATGGTCTCTCAATAACTTCTCTTCCGGAGAAGAATCGTCATTATATAACAATATAAGAGGTAAGTTTTATCAAAAGGTAGTCTGTGCCGAAGCCAACAAGATAGATTCCTGACAGAGCATTATGACCCAGACATCGTGCTCAGACCCGGCCAGTCTCGGGTTTCAAGCTTCCACCTACAACTACAACAAGATCTTCGAATCTCAGCCGCCAGACGAAGATCTCCTCCTTCCAGATTTCATGCGTAATGATAGATCGACGTGGTCAGGATCGGTTCAGAGCATGGACTACTACAGCCCATACCAGGCTACACCGCTGGCCACAAACCTTGGGGCAACTCATCAAGTACCGCGATGGGCTAAAGACACTATCAGTGGCTACAATACCGTCGAGGGGGCCAAGAGCCACCCAAAGCGTGGAAATAGAAAGCTGCGTGATGCCGGAATTAACACTGAAGGCATCAACAGAGGCGATCCTCAAAGTCAGCCACGCATGAAGAACCAGAAGCCCCTCGCACGGAAGCAGCTATAGCCCCCTCACCCTGCGACCTGGCCTCGGCAATTCATCGAGCAAAGCAAAGACCACTGCCGCCGGAAAGGGATTAAAGTGTCCAAACTGGGACAAAAGAAAGCAATGCTGGAGGACAGACCAAGCTGGTCTCTCTAGCTCTGAGATGCGGGATGACACCAAGTTTTACCAACAGTATAAAGTTCAACGGCAAGATCTTCCAACAGCAATGCTAGATATGCCAATCCGTCAAGGGCAGTACCGTCAGCAGGTCGGTCTTGGCATTGGGATGGCCCGAGGCCAGATGGGGTCAAAAGTACAGCGAGACCTGTCCCTCCAAGTCTCAAAAGAGCACACAGAATAGATGAATTGATTTCACATTGATGATTGAAGAACCCGAAATTGCTTGTGCCAAACCGCACGTACCTTAGTGTTTCTCAGGCCTGAGTAGGTAGAAAGCAACCGGGAAGCAAATCCCTCAGCACACCATCGCCGGCAGCCCTAGCGACCCCTCTCAAAAGCCCACTTCCACCTCGAGTCCACGCTGCACACCCCAACATCCCCCAAGAACACCATCCTTCACAGAGCACTTGGTGGCGCAAAAGCGGACCACATGAGCACTCTCAATTATCATCCGTGGCGGCAACGTCTCCAACGATTCCGTCTGTCAGCCCCGGTGAGAACTGCGTGTTTATCTGGTCTGGCTTACAGCACACCGGGGAGAAGGAGAGTCTGGCAGGGACGAGGCTTCGCGTATGCCGAACATATCCGGTGTTTCGGTCCCAATGAGGTCAGTGCATATATTGAGCACATGCTGGTTTTAGGACGCAGCTGTCTGGCAATCTTTGTCAATGAGCAATTCTGTCGCTGACAAACGCGTAACTATTTCCTGGTTCCCGCGATAAAGCAGCAGCCCTGGAAGAACTCCCATATCCAATGAAATTCTCTCGGGCACCTCGCGGGAAGTTCCTTAGGAGGATTGCTGATCCCCAGCTGTATCGGTTGCTTTCCAGAGCGCTCAAAGAGGAGGAATCTCCCAGCCCGTGCCTTATCACCTCGCTTCTCTGGGTCCATAGCTCTCAAAGCAGTGTCTCTGTCATCTCCGGGGGCGGTAATAGCCAGCAGATTGACCTTATGTTGGGCAGCATTGCGAGAGCTCCTGGCGGTCATGAGCCGATGCGGTAAAAGGCATGTGTGTCGCGCTCGCGTCCGCTACTCGTGACGCATGAGGCTTTGCATTGTTCAGAAATCACATCAACTTGGTGGGTGATGCGGACCAAGCGATTTTTACTCGTCAGCGTGGCCGCGTAAGCCGCGTTTTTTGTTGGAGTGGCCAAACAACCCTCCAGGAAAGCCTTCAAGGTCTTGAGAGAATCACAACGCGGGCAGGGATTCGACTCCTGCTGGCGCTCCTCTGTTTCCTCTATTCATACCACAGTGTCGTGACAAGCGATGGAGCGAGGAAGGACTGCGTCGGAGAAAGGGCCAGGATCAACTCGCGTGATTTCATAGAACACGCGCGACGTGCTGTTCAGCGCGACGATCTGAGAGATATGATCAAAGGCTTTGTAAGTTTCGAGAATGAGATCGGTTGGCAGGTCCCGAAGTGGACTCGACAGTTCCGGCCTCTGACCCCTGCGGAAGGGTGAATCCTATGCAGATCATGGAGTCACCGTCGCTATTTTTAGGTAAAAGCCGAGAAAAAACAAATTGCAGGGATGAGAGATAGACTTCGGCATTTCGCCTAAATAACAAAGCGATTCTGGGGAGCAAAGGGAGCTATCTGATCCCAGAAGATGGCATGTGACCCCGACCTGCTACCGGAGAGGAGTTGTTTACTCCGAAATGTACGTACATCGGGAGATGCCAGGGACATTGCTGAAAAACTCTCCGTGAGGTTTAGTAGACCAACATCAGTATACGCAAATTTGGTGAATATGGTTCGCTTGCAAGGACAAAATTACATTTGTGGGACATGCCGAAGCTGTAGAAGGAGAATGATAGAAACACCCTAAGGTAGTGTCCAAACCGGGCGGCGTTGAGTCTGTTTTGACTCAACAACTTGAGTTTTAGCACAAAGGAAAGATCCACCCCATCCAACACTCACCAAGCTTAGCCCCTGCTTCGAGCTTACTCTTATCACCACCACATCTCCTCATGCGCGCCTGTCAGATTAGCTATCACCGTGTCACTCGGCATAGAAGGTTCTACCAAGCACATAGGCAAGAAGCCTCGAATCACCCGGTACGCCTACCAGCTAAAAATACGCCCATGCCCCCATCGCTGACCGGGTCTCCTACTCTTTGTGATTCCTTAGACACCACCACTGTCCAGGTCATAGTCGGAGAAAGCTAGAAGGCCTTCAACATGCACAGAAGGATTCTCTGTAATGTCGCCCTGAACTTTCGCACCGTTGTAGGGGGAATTTCCTCGAAGGTGTAGAGCAGATGCTTGAGCTGCCCAAGGAAGACGAGACCCTGTTTCGACACTTTTAGCTGTGAGTATACACGAAGTGTTGCTGGAGGATTATGAAAGCTTCGACGGCATCGATTGGGTACAAAACAGGCTCCTCCGCGATGTTTGCCCAGAGTTCAGTACGGCATTTGGCAACGCACTTGGATACTGAATCCCTGCCAGCCACCACGCGTACTTTCAAATACCAAAGTGGGTTCAATCTTCGATCTGAACTTTCCTTTTCTGACAGCCGGATCCAGTGGGGTGTGATGGGCCTTTCTTTTGAGCTGAATAAACATTTGCCACAGACAATGACTAGAGGCTAACCATTGCACCGACGTAGCTAAGAGCTTGCTGTGACTAATATACCTCGAGGTATCCTGATGCGTGGAGAATCAAAGACTGGCAGAGAGACCATTTTCGATTTCAAGCCTCGCTGCCCTGAGAGCCGAAGACATCGTGCCCTATTACGATGGGATGATGGTCCGACTGTTCTGCTGCCGTTACTGGTACTGCCGATTGGTCAATTGGAAGGTCATACACCTTCTCGGACAAACTTGTTTTAGAAATTCAGGATTACGCTTAGTGCATCCGTGGAACCTCAATTGGGAATCCTTCGCAACCCCACTGTGCGGATTACCTGAATGATTGAGTACCCAAACCGTTGAAGGGCGCTCGTCTCCCGTCATCTGACATGTTGCAGCGCGGAAGTAGCTGCTCGTCCGCGAATTAACCTGTTAAGCGCGCTGAGCAAGATCACAGCCGTTGTCCCTCTTTTGCCTCTTCTTTTTCCGGGCTTTGGTACGGAGTATGTCATACTGCATACAAATTCCCGCACACTGCATATATATTCCCGCACTAGCTAGAAACATCCCAGCTTGTGACCACCTCGGGAAGCTCGCTTTGGCCTTCTTGTTAGGAGTTCATATCATCCATAATCTCGATCTGTTTGCCTGCATACTGCATGATGCTTATCAAACAAGCGCCGCGGATCGGAACTGAGAAACTTCCTTTGTACAGCAGCTCTATGCGCTGCAACCTGACCTGCACCTCTTGGCCTCTCGAAAGCCTCCGATTTGTCTCATCTTGCGTCTCATTGAAGATTGAATCTCGAGCTTCAATTAGGCATCCATCTTTACGTTTCGGAGGTACAAACGTCTGCAGGTATTACACTCCCGCAGTAAGATAAGCCTACTGCAATGCATCGGAAGTCCTCCCCCGGCCCTCAGACCTTCAAGGGGCCATGGCGTGCAGCGAAAGCATAGGATCTCTCAACACCATTATTTCAAATGCCTCAACCGAGGGTAGCCTTTGGCCAATCAAAAAAATCGTCTGAAATGTGTGCCCAGTTGGTCGCTTTCGCGGACCAAATTTGTAAGACTCCTGCAGAAAAGTTGGCAACCAATCGGCATGCGAAAGAGGGGGAAATGCACGAATGATCTGCATGCCTCAAGAGAGAGAAGATACTTGTGAAATCCTTAATTCCCCACGCAAACGGCCAGCCTCACCCCACGCGTATATACAGCTAGTGACGTTTAGGTTAGAGACATTAGCCTCTCATCTGAGTGGTGGAAAGCGAGGGTACTCCTCGGACAAGGATATGACTCGTCATGAGGACCGTGTCTCTCATGCGGATACCCGTTTCAACCTCAACCCCCTCGACCCTGTCGCTTGCTCCGAAAGAACATATTCCAAGATGTACGAGCCCGAATACGGGCTTCTTAGGTCGCGGCCATGTGCAGAATCCTGAGACTCCAGTATGAGTGCGGCCACGACTCACCACAGGGTATAGCTCCTTGCGCTGGAAGAAATTACGGCGGCTGCAAGGGCCAGAGATATCAGGATGAGAGGCGACCGGAACATTGTCCCAGATGCGGTGAGTGGGTGCTCCAGCCGATGTGCTGCGTTTGAGGGACCAACGCGCTGGACTGACGTTCTTCCAGTTGCGGATATCGCTGCAAGAAGGGCCGCAGAGATAACAGCAAGCGCACGCGTCCTCATAACCCCACCCGATTCTCCCTGAGAAGAAAAGTCATGAAAAGAGGGGGAACACGCCGCTTCAACAGCCTCAGCGTACATTTGGGAGTCATGGTACATGCCAGCCGTGGAAAGGGTTGTAGGCTATACCAGTGCTGGGTCGGGCTCGGAACGAACCGGTGCTTAATCTATGAACGTTTTCATTCCATCGAGATGACAGCCAGCGCACCGAATTTCTTCAACAGAGACAGAGGATACCCGCATAGATTTTTGCCTGGCACAGTCTTTTGCACCTGGCAGCACCTGGGTGCGGTAAAGAGCAAGCCTGGATCAAACACCGCAAGACATTGCTCAAGTAGGCGGCATATAGTGGGCTGGTTTACATTAGCATACATCCGCCGCCTGAGCTCGCAAGACGTCCTAAATACATTTTATCGACCTTCAAACCTTCTCATTAAAAGATTGGGTACTCTATGCCCAGAGCGCCAAGACCCACGAAATGTGGTCCCAGTGTAGAACAAATTTGCTTCGAAATCTGCTCCTTGGTGTCCGAGTAGACTGATCTGTCCAGGAGGCAGCAGCACGACATGATTTCACCTGGAGCTTCACATGTTTGTATGTCGAGCAGTGAGCTGGATGAGACATTCAATGGCCAGCCATACGCGTTTCCTCCGAGATCATCACTCAAATATATGCTTCCAGACAGTCTAGCAGCAGTCATATTCGGACAAAAAAAAGCGGCATGACTCGTACTGTTGTACCTATCTTCACTTTCACCTTTATGCTAGTGTTGTCCGGCCAATGAAGTGATTACTCATCGGAAATCTTCCGATATTTGCCACCAAATACTTCACTTATCACCCAACACCAGCATCGGCCTGTATGGCAATGCATCTCGCTGAGCTATTTCACCGAGATCTCCTTGCCAAGACCGAGTGCGTGTCTGGGTTCCAAGTCTTAAGCCGAGCTTGCCGCAGCAGAGTCAACAATCTCGAGGGAAACACCGCTGTGGCCAAAACGATGGCTTCCCCAAGTCGCGTGAAGAAGGCAAGTACTACGACTCAGGAAGTAAGAGCTCTTAAGGCTGCGAGCCGAAGATGATGGCGCCTCACTCTGAAGCAGACAAGAGATTGCGCTCTCCTAGAAGACAGCCTCCTACAACCCCACTAAGCTCACGAATGAGCGAGCGCAAGCCATTCACGAAGAGCTAGTCCAAGAGACTTCATGATCTCAGGGCCGATACACTCAGGCATGCAGCCCGTACGACCAGGTATACAAATGGCAGTGATGCTTCCGCCGCCTGTCTACAACAGATCCGATCCGACTAATGCCGCATCACCATCAGGCAGATCATCTACGAGTGCTGCGAGTACTTGCTCGAATGGCTTGTCCATCCCTCGATCGGCTAGTCTTGTCAACACCTAGCGGAATCGCAAATTGCGGAAAGATCCACAGTGTCCAAGGCTCTTGGTGGCAGGACAGTAGAGGAAGCTGGAGGCGTACTGGGCAGATGTGAAGAATTGAGCTCTATCAGCTAAGGGATAGGAGTGATACCTATTTCGCTCAAGTACGGCTACTCTACAATGGCATTTTGGTGTGACGCTGAGATATCAAGGTCCTGCGACATATCTACATGGACACGACTGGCATCAGGCTCATGTATACGCTTCAGGTTGCATCGAAACATAATTACAGGCACATGAGCGCAAGTTGGCGCAGGAGCGTTGCAAACCTACAAGGACGCAGAGGAGTGCGAGAACTGGAGATTCTCGGGAGCGGCCCGGAAAGACAAGGTCAATGATCAACTCTTGGTTTTGGTGGGTGACCAAAATACATGGGCGTGATGTGATGCACGAACATGTAAAGTTCCGCATGCGTTTACAGGATTTTACTGATCACTCTCAGCACAACCGCCTGCATCCAACCCACGTCGTTAGCCATGCCCCACGCGAGCGGCATGAAGATGGAAGAGAAGATGTTGGACTTTGCGATTTATATACAGCCAGACCCCAGGAATGAGATCGGAATACGAACAATGCTCTGCTCAGACAATAAAGATGCTCAATATGTGAAGCGGACGATGTTTGGGCGACTACGCATGCGTCTTATCCTAATCAACGTTGAGACGAAGACGCCCTTCAGTGGGAGGCGGGACCGCGGATGTTTAGTTAGGTACTTGTATTGCAGCTGGGCTTTATCAGCTGCGACGGATGCTGGCGATGAACAAGCCTAAAGATGTGCAAACACCAATGCTACCCTCGCTGTCGGTATATCGTCACGACGTGCATCTTACAGCGTTTCAAATGAAAGGGACGACAATAGTTTGTACGATAAATCGAGATTGGGTGGATCTGATACCCTACTGGGAAGGTTTGAGATGAGCTCTAAAGGTTTTAGCAGACGGGGTAAATACGGAATTTCGGTTGTGGTCATTCGACAGAAATGTCAAGTCAGGCTGGCGAGAAGTGGCGAAAATCCCTGATTATACTAGTGAAGAGACGGTTGTTGCGATCGGCCCCACAGGATGGCGAAATACTATAATGGGACTACATCTGACGGGCATGGTCTCCTACCACCATAGCCAAACAACGGTTGTGGAAGTTGGCAGGCAGAGAGCTGACCGTCGCTGCTAGGCCCGACTCATGGCGAAATACCTCGACCGGGATACATCAGCCTTACTGCTTCCAGACCGAGGCCCTGGAAACGTTCCATGGTTGTATTGCACATGGCGGGTAGCCGGTCGCTGCAGGGGATCGACCTCAGTATTAATCATCTCGACGTTGGAGCAGAAGGTTGTCAACGAACTGCTTCTAACGAGATCTTGCGAGACAGACAAAGATTAAATACTGGAATGGTCGAAGTGAGTAATCCATTGAAGCAAGAGCGACGCAAGGGAAAATTCTATCGCTCCGAAGGGAAACGAGAGTGAAAAAAAAGGAGACCTAAGGCATATGAGGGCCTTTACCCTGCTGCAGAATGAAGATTGTTACTCGCATTATGCTTTCCTTTACTTTTGGGGTGGGGGGGTAGATCTCCCGATATGTGTTTCGACGTTTCGTGCAGGACCGTGCCGCCGCCAGGCTTCTAGGGGCACTGCCGACAAAATGTCATTACTCAACAATCAACCTCATCACATTCTTTATATAAGCAGCTGTGCGCAATGCACTGAAACAAAGGATGCACCTTTCGATGACCGGTGTGCCTCAACTCGATAAGATTTCAACAGTCGTCATAAGCTGACTGTTAGAGGGAGACGTTTGAATCAGAATGGCCCCCAATCCATGGACCTACGTGCTTTGCCTCCGGTGTTTGAGAAACACTGTGTCGCTCAGATCCTCCTTTTCTCTCACACCTTTCTTCTTGGCAGCCCCAAGATACATTGCGATTCCCGCGCGCCCGCGCGCTCCCACCGAAACTCTTACTTGTGTCTCTTGGACGTCATGTTTCAGATGCTGCCTTCGAACATATTCGGTCCTACCTGGCCTCGCGATTCATGGTGGGAAGACGTGATGATGACGCGTATTGAGAACGGATATATAACAAGGGCTTACCGTCACCGCCTTTCTCCGGTGCCTTCTCACTTTCGTCCTCGCCGGTTCCTGAACTCTTTTGCTGCCCTCTGATCCTTCCTATGTCTCTTTTCAAACCTATACGCAGTATGTTCGTTATACTAGCTTTGGCCTATGTCCTCATAGCCTTGCCATCGACTCTAGCATCATGTGGCCCCATCGACGATGTGACCCTTACCTTTTACGGCTGGCCAGACAATTCGCCTCCTGGATCGGACAATGCATTTGACTGCGGACGTGGTAAAAATGCGGATGGGAACCCTATGGCTGGAGGTACGAAAGCTTGCCAAATCTTCCTAGTGCTCTTATATATCTAATGACATTCCTAATAACAGGTAGCGGAACCTACGATGATCCTATCTCCTTCGCAACTGCCACCAATAATAAAAACCTGCCAGAATGCGCCGTCGTCTACGTCCCTCTCTTGCACAAGTACTTCCGCAATGAAGACGACTGCGCTCAGTGCCGTACGTGATGGCCAGATTTACAACTTAAATCAGGGTTTCTGACGAACACTTACAATCGTCTAGTAACCGATTGGGACTCGAAGGGGGAATACCACATTGACCTATGGACTGGATCAAACACTGCTGGTGGTGGTCAGGACCAGATCAATTGCGAAGACAATTTGCCTGGAGGGTCGCAGACGATTATCCTTGATCCACCGAATAGTCTTCCTGTGGACAGTATGGACCCCACTGCGCCCGCAATCCAGTTTGTACACTAATCATACGCCATAGCCACACCATTATACGACCAACCATCGAACCAATGTCACACGACGACATACTCTATCTCTGACTCTTCAAGCCTCTGCGCCGGCGGCAGTAAAGGCGGATCCCCAGCACCTGTATCATCTGCTTCCTCAAAAGCACCAAACACATTTCCGTCTTCCACCCTCGCAACTGTGTCAAGTGCCGCATCATCATCAGCTTCGGCGTCGACGTCGTGTACCTGGAAAGGTCACTGCCTCGGTGATCCATGTCATACTTTCAATGACTGCTTTGGCTCGGATGTATGTACTCATGGTGTCTGTGCGCCTTGCGTTGGTGGGTCGTGTTGAGAGTTCAGTGCAGCTTTTTGACTGTCGAACGCGTTAGTATCTGGCGACGGAATCTGGTTTGATTTTCAGAGTTGCGTGGCGCAAAGGCCGTTGGCCTCAGTAATGTTGTATCGTGTGTTAACTGAGTAAAGCTCTACCATTCTACGATCTAGATTTATAGGGTATGCCATTTCTCATTTCAACAATGAGATGCTAGATTGCCGTAGCGTACCCTTTTCAATCCGCCGTTCTCCTGGCTGTACGAGCCGCAGAATCTCGGAATAACATGACTGCTGGAGCGGAAAAGGAGAGATGGAGAGACTCTTGAGCCAGCAAGCCCCGAGACACAAAGCCAAGGGACACAAATCTCCGGGACAGAGAGGACCAAGATACAGAGCTCTGAGACACAAGCAGAAGACTACGAAGCGGAGGACCGCGATACAGAAGAGTGTAAAGAAAATGGAAATGGAAACGGCAGGATCGAGGCTCGGAGCGGACGAAACTATTTGCGAGGAGCCAGAACAGCCACCCCTATACTTCGTTCTGTTCTTTTTGCGAGTCATAGCCACAACATTCTACAGACGGGAAATCAAAGATGAAGAGAGCAGGGCATACGACGAGTATCATATCATCCTTCCGTCACCTATCCATCCCTACATGAATTTTTCCATTCAAACTGCCAGAACCCAGACTAATCTACCTCCTGATTAGCCAAGTCTTGCAAAGACAACATACCTTGCAGTCGCCTTCCCTACACGACCGACAATTCCTGCATTGCTCACTCCCCGCCGGGTCCTCGAATTGCTGCCAACCCCCATCATCCTGGTATTGAATCTCGGTTGTCGAATCCGTTGTCACCCATAACCGAGCCCCCGCCTCTTCGACCGTCTCTTCAACAGTCTCTTCAACAGGATTTTCCTCTTCCTGTTGCAGGTCAGCACCCACAGGCTCAGTCTCAGGAGGAACATCATCATCCGCTATCCCCTCTCTGTCTGTGACCTCCGACGAGTCCTCCTTCCTCAACTTCAGAGCCGGATGCATCGAGTCAGCAAAGACGAACGCTTCGACGGCTGATTGATGCAGCGCGCAGAGCTCTTCGCTGTCTCGTCGGGGCCTTTGACCTTTGCGAGAGCCACTGGATATCATTTGACATGTCGAGCTCTCGCCATTGTGGTGGTCCACGTCCCACCATCGGCCCTGCTTCAACAATGTGCCATTAGCTCGAACTCGTTTGCGGGCGTAGAATATCTGCTTCGCGTAAGGGTCGAATCCGCTAGACGACCACTCATTGACTCGGACAATGGCATCACGTCTGACGGAGTCGTCGTTGGCAGAGTCCTTTTCGAGACGAGGAAGTACGCCCAAGAGCGATCGCTCAGTCAGGAAAGCCTCCGCGTACGCTTCGATGAGAACTGCCTGCTCTTGATCGTCACAGAGTTTCATTAAGAGAATGCCGTTCCAGGCGTCCGCTCGCAAGCTCCATTCATCGAGTTCGTCACGGTGGGCCGTACTGTTGCGTAAATCTCGCGCCCCGTCGAGAACCTGGTTCCGGAGATCATGTTGAGAGAAAAGCCGTCCGTCCACGTCCGTCAGAGCGAGATTCTCACCACCTCGACCGAAAGCCGGCCGGAAGGGAGGACTCGTCCAAGCCCAGAACCAGTCCCGCAGATCGGCGTCTTCTGGTACGCACCAACCTTTCCCTTTCAGGAATTCCGGATTCTCTCGTTTGGCGTACCGGAAGATACCTTCTTCCATTAAGCTTTCAACGCGCAGGGATATCTGTAGATAAGTCGTGCAGGGTTTGTGAGCAGTAAGGACGAATTTCTGAACCACTGACCTCGAATATTCATCCACCGAAGGATCTTCGCGTACCACTCTGAAAACCAGATTCATCTCATCAGCCCTCTGGTGATTCTTCAGTATGCGCGGTATCTTCATGACCTCAGTCAAAGTCCACAGATATAGAGTCCGGTCGCGATGATTGGTGATATGTCTGAGTGTGTCAGCTTTTTCAAAAACATACGGGATCAAGGATCTGGACATATCAGCCGGTACATCGTACGCATCGCACGGCAAAAGCTTGCCCGCATACTTAAAAAACTCAACCCAGTATTCAGGCTCAATCCGATCTGGCAGATGCCAAGGTTTTTCAATCAGTTCCGACTCGGCGTACTTCTCGCTTTTCTTGTTAAGATACGACTCGGAGTATTGATGGGGATTCTTCTTGAAGAGATCCTGCTTCCACTTGAGCGATTCCAAGTCATTTTTGAATTCTGCCTCGGCCTTACCGTAGAAAGATTGCTCCACTTGAGAAAGGAACCAGATGCAGAGGTGATGCTGTGTCGTCGACGAGAGATCCAATGGCGGGGGTGGAGGGGGAGGCGAGTACCAGCCGGTGTACTTTTCGGGTGAGGGAGTTTGAAGAATCCACACATCATCTGTTAAAGTCTTCTGGCTATCAATGCTATCGGCCTTGCCTACCTCGATTGTCAAAATTGGGAGCGATCTGGATCTCCTCGCATCCTCGAAGTCACGGCATTCGCATTGAGCATCTTCGAGATGGTCAACTTCTTGCGGCGTGAGCCCCGTCATTGGCGTCGTTGCGGGGGTTAGTGATTCTGCCATACTAGTATTGTCAATGTCGAACTGTCTCTCCTTGCCGTCTTCTGCGGGCATATCCCCCAGAACTGATGGCATTCGTGGTGGGTAGGCGGAAATTGCCAAGACATCTTCCACTCCAGGTTGCCTTTGGCTGGGTTCCTCTGCGGAAATGTCTCCCAAACTCGATGGCGTTGCTGGTCGGCTGGTGGTTGCGGACTTGACATTCTCCACTTCATGTTGCGATTGATTGCAATCTTTTGGGGATGTATTGCCCATACTCGATGTCGCTCCCGATTGCATGATTCCCACTGAAGCTAAGCTGTTAGCCGTAGGTCCTGCCTACCAGGGAGACCTTGTCGGCGATGCTCGAATGTTCAGGCCGAAGAGACAGGGTGTGTTGATACAGAATACCGGACCAGCGTTTCTTGAATGTATTCAAAGACGCCTAGGACTCCAATATCGATCTTGATAGCTTAGACTTTTTGTCCTCAGTAGCTGTGGCAATGGCCTTTGTCCGAACAGTCGCCTTTTTCTGGAGATAGTTCTTTATTGGGTTTTTTTTCATAATTGAAATTGCGTTGTTCGTGGGCGCTAGGGTTGAAACCTTCTTTCATCCTAACATTGTGCAATGTCTGATTCCCTTTGAGGTAAGCGTACAAAAGTCTATGACTTTGGGTCTAGACAACGCCCATCGTACTGCATCAAGGGTCTCAAGTGCTTGGTCTTGACAGGTTGTAAGAGACTGTGGCAAAAATCATGCATAGAGGCAATCTCAACTTTCTAGATTTCAATCGGCAGTCTCCCAGGAAAAGTGACAATTGTAACCAAACGAACCGCCAACTGTCGTCTTTATTAGTGAGGGGACACTACTTGTTCAGCTCCAAACAGTCTTTTTTCTGCGTTGCGTGAAAAAACCAGTCAACTTTTTCTGGCTGAGGCCCACAGAAAGGTGCCAAAATGGGGAAAAAAGACGAAAAAGACCAACATGCTTGACCGTAGGGGTCTGAATTCTTCAGCTCCTATCCCAATGGATGTGAGGATGAAGTCTGCGACGATCAAGTTGTGAGGGAGATGACTCCAATCTTGTCGTCGACTTCTTCATCAAGTTTGGTAATAAAACCGACACGTGATTTGCTTCCCTCGAAGCACAAGATTTGAAACATAGCGCAAGAATTATCTCATTCGCAAATGCAAGTTCACATTTTGGGAGAAGAAGTCCAGTACTAGTAATCCGCAGTCTATCGTCGCGTGCAAACTCCTTCCACCTTCAACTCCAGCGAGGCGATTCCTGCAATGTCCTGTTACAAGCCGGCAACCAAGCTCGAACGTTGCAAATCACCTTATCGCCCATTTTCAGGTCCAACTTTCTAAACGCGCCTTGGTCCCTCTTGCCCAAGGTGTGATGATACATTGCGGTATGCCAGAAACCGACAGGGTGCGCAAAGAGAAGTTTGCTCGATCTATAAAGGTCATCTCAATTGAGACTTCGTAGAAAAGGGAATATGCAGGCCAGATACAGCACCATTCACTCAGAGGCCTCAGGCGGTAGAAACCGGGCTCTGAATCCTTAGTCAGTTGTAGCGGTATTGTAATGTGCAATGCCGATGAGTTCGGCCGGTACTTCTCTTGAGGGTTCACGAGCAAAGATCTCGGCACCTTGATCGTGATGACCGCCCGTCTACAATATTATGACTAGCATAAGCTCAACATTTTTTCTACAGCATCGTGATACACAACCTTGTCCGGGGATTCCATAGGGCTTGACGTTGGCACGGTAATTTGCTGAGATATTCGTGACGTTTTTGATGCCTGCTGGAGTGGCGAGCCCGTAAGATGGAATGGAGAGGAAGGGGAAGCGAGGCTGGCGAATTTGCAAATCACAGGTGACGTTGGACACATTGGAGGATGGCGTGGTCTGCGAATTGGTAAAGAGCAAGTCCTTGTGAAGGACGATTGAGGCGTCAATGACGAGGCTGGATAGACAAAACTAGGAATCAGACGAAATGACGCCACATTCGGCGAGCTCTTGGTCGGCCAGCTGGAGTGGATCGGTTGCTGGCATGGCGACTTTCGTGTCAAAGTTTTGGTGTTGAGCTTGGCAGTCGCGTTTCGGCGCGACATCGTATTTGCCAAGGTTTTGTAATTTACCCATTAGCGGCAATACAGTATCAATTCGCGGCATTCGGTTCCCCTCCTAAATCTTATAAGCTATGCCGTTGTCGTCACTCCATGTTCCTCAGCATGGACGACCCCATCGTTGCGCAGCAGCTGAACGAGCTCACATATGAACGACAGGACATATACGATCTCTTCATGAACCTCAAGACGCTCGAGCAGAACTGCCCTCTCGCGCAGCCTAGCATTGAGGGCTCGAACACAGCAAGTCTCTACCCTCTGGGTCAGCTTGACGTCCTGCCTCTGGAGATCATACAGAATATTCTACAGTTGCTCGATCTACAAACCTTAGCCCTTAGCCAATCTGTGAATCAACGCTCAAAGCTTCTCGTCGACAGCCTTCCCCAGCATAGAGAAATCGTCACCCACGCCCCCAACGCCTTGCGAGCGATGCTCAGCACCGGGTTGGCGCCCCATTTTACCATTAATCATCTATACAGAGCATTGCGTGCCCCAGAATGTATCGAGTGCGGCTTATTCGGTGCCTACCTATACCTCCTGGAGTGCCGCCGGTATTGCTGGCTATGTCTCGCCGAAGCCTCCGATGCCCTCCCCGTTTCTACGGAATTTGCGATACACTCTTTCGGCCTCCCCCGCAGCGCTATACGGCAGCTCCCATGCATGAAAAGGCTCCCAGGACGATACAACCTAGATGGCTTTCATGGATATACACACAAACGGCGGGTCGCTCTGGTCAATCCAAAGGCAGCGAAAGAGGCAGGAATGAAATTACACGGAACCCAGGAGGCAATGGAAGCCTACGCAAACCCGTATGCAGTACGAAGGTTCCCAAGAGCTATGGACCGCGACCGTAAGGAGGGCAATCGAAATGCCACTTGGCTGCAAGGGGTGAGGCATATGCTGAACCCAAGTCGCGTTCGTGGTCCTCCCTGGTCTCATCATGGCCATTATGAGCCTCAGCGATTCATGGCTACCATCCCTTTCCCTACCTTGGACCTATCGGATGGGGCCATTGAGTGGGGACTCTCGTGTAAAGGGTGCCGTGACGGACCGCCGAACGATGACGTATCGAGAGATTGGGAGGCAATGTATACTAAGCGTGGATACCTTGCCCACTTTGACCAGTGCGAATGGTCCAAACACTTGTCGGCGTCTTTGAAGACGGATAGCTCAACAATGTCAGAAAGGCGCTGAATGCTAGGGAATGTGGCGCGGCAGTCTGCGTAGCACTCCCACGCAGCAACGCCTCTAGCCGGGGCTTCCGCTAGCAATTGAGCACAGCGGACGATTGCAGAAATACCAGAACGAAAGGACGTTGCTTTGCCTTCCACTGAGTGATTGCCACGTATGTGTCGATATGCTACGCCAATTTGAGATTGCCAACAAAGAGCTCTCAGGGTTAAAGATCACGACGAGCCACGTTGTGCTTATTCACCGAAGTTCCCATCATTTCTTTCTATCGCTTCCCTTGTCATGCATGAGACAATGTCCTCGTTTGCTCGCTTCTACCCAGCAATTATGCTTTCAACTCTTCTGCCCCTCCACTTTTGATACAAAGCTAAAAGTTACCGTTTAGTTCGTGAGTCCAAATTTTCCTTAGATTCAAGATGCCACCCAACGACGATCAACGACATGCCGCCGAAATCTGTGCGCTGGCAATCATACTCACCGGGCGCTTTTCAACCTGACGATTTCTTCAGCGACGGATATCCCAATGAGACGGTATGTATTGAGCCAAGGAATTGTGGAACCGAGACCTGCTACATGCGCACGTCGATAGGTCAAGCGTGGCTCGGGCGTCACACCGATTTCGCATTCAATCGCGAGACGTGAGATGAGTTTAAGCCGAATTCATAAAAAAGGAGAAAGAGATGGCTTTTCTGACGCAAAAATTTAATTGGGCGAAATCCTGCTCTGTCGAGAGGCGTTGAGAATATTGCTATGATCGAACCGACACGGGACGTGGGACGGTTGAATGCTTGTAATGGAGTAGAGAACGCTTCCTACCGGCGAAAGTGGTCAGAGAGAACGTTCAACCATTGCCGTCGCGCATGGCGCTATGAAATGTTACTGTTCGATGATGATCGGTAGGGAATGACAGCAATACCTAGGATGATGTGACCGCAGACGAGAAGGGATCCACTTTCCATCAAGTTTCACCGTTGCTCATACCTCACGTTTGCGCTCTCGCATGTATCTTCTCCTCGTCCAGAATCGATCGCTTCTCCGATAAGGCGTTCGAATCTTACCTACGCACACTTTAATCCTCGAACATGGAAGAAATAAGTCTTCGTAAACTCTTCTACCCCTTCTCCCGCAAAGCTCCGCCGCTTTTCTATACCTATCCAACTCTACGCTACGCTACGCTACTCGCCTCTACTCTCACGCCTTCCCCCCCCCCCCCATCAAAACCCCATCCAATCCATCAATCACAACAGCCCATGCCCCCATCCCAATAACCCCCACTCCCCTCCCCCAACTCCCTCAGCAGCAACCCCAACGCCCCCATAACCAAACCTTCGATCCCCCCAAAAATTCAGCCCTCCCCCCCAAAATCCAGCCATCCCCGCAACAACCCAAACCCGCACAACGGCGCCAGACCAAAAATCCCACAGCGCCTTCACCACTCCCACCCTTTGCAACATCCCACTCGCTTCCCTCCCATCAATAATAGCCTTGTTTGTTAGCTTTTTCCCCAACAAGTCTCACCAGCTGCCTCCGGATGGACCCGTTGCGGACGAGTCTGTAAACAGGGATTCCGTTCCGATCGATATCGATCATGGCCAGGGATCATGGCGGGTGCGGGGATTTTTTCGTGAGGGGGGATCAGGTGCGGTGGGGTGGGTGGAGGGCAGGGAGGGGAGGGGAGGGGAGGGGAGGGGAGGGGCTTTTTTCTGATGTGATATGATATGGTTTGATTTGATTTGGAGTTGGATATCTTGGTGATTTTTAAAAATAGTGTTGATTATGTGAGATGGCTTGATGGCTTGATAGGTAGATAGAGAGTATTGGTTCTCGATGACGGAATGCCGTTCGGGATTCTCTCTTTTCGAAAGGGTGGGGTGGTCTCCCCCCCAGCCCCTCTTATCATGAACGGGGCGATTCTTGCACCGGGCACTGAGTACTAGTACCACGGCGATGGATGATGGATGGTGTTGTGTCGGGACTACCTACTCATACGGGGATCCAAGACTGGCAAAGATTAACGGGGGATGGTGCGAGCTGGCACGCCCTAATAGGCCGAAAGCCAGCTCAACTCATAAGAGAAAGAGGGAGAGAGGTATTAGATGTCCAAACCGAATTTCCTAACAGTCCAAAATCTTCAGAAGTTCGAACGTCGGATCGAAAACTCGAGCCTATATCAGCAGACGATAAGCTCTGGGATTCTGAAAGATCTAGACACATAGAGGAACGGTACCGGTCGAAGGAAACGACGCCGAATCGATCCCGAAACGGCGGAGATATCGGATCGCAAGTTCAGGGTGTTTTGGAGATGGAGACGACGACGACTGCGCGAACAGGGTCCGTCGTTTATATCAAGGACGATCAGCTAAAGAGTACTAATGGATTGGAAGGGACACTGCTCGATATGGATCGCGCGGACGGTGCATGTGTGGTTTGGAGGCAAGGAGCCTGGGGAGAAGAGGTACTTTGAGATATGCGGTACGGGTGGAAGCAGTACGGGTCAAGACTGAGAATCGGCACGAATGGAAGACTCATGGCAGGAGCAAATCCAGGTAACGGTTGGCTTTGGAAGGACGCGGCGTCAGCGAAAGGTCTTCAGTAGCCTGCAGCGCCATTGTTGTCTGGCTTTCAACATCACACGCGCGCGATCGTCTAATTCCATTCGACCTTCAAGACTTCGATGAAGTCGAGGCAAAACGATAGGTACACAGCGTTCGAATGGGGCAAGAGGGGCCGAAGTGTCCAGTCGCAGGTCGACAGGTATCGGGACGTTTCCGGGGGAAAAGATCTAGAGTATATTGTAGGATATGTGGCAGTCAGTAGGAAGATGAATCCTATTCTATAGCCGCAGTCTTTCCAAAAGCCTCAACCCGAGCCACTTCGATCTGTGAGATCTTCCGGTAGACGGCATGATCGATAAGCAAGATCGCGGCAACTGCTGACGACTCAGGACATGGCGCAGCCTGCTGTCGCGGTAGATCCGGTCTCTCAAGACGATGAGGGTTCCGTTCTGGGTTCCTATGCCAGCTTCATGCCATTTCAGGAGGCACGCAATCCGAAGAAGATGAGCTTGTGCCACTTGGGGCACGACAGACGGAAATGAAATGATGCAGAGACCCGCGTGTTTTCGAGTGCGCGCACAGGCAGCCTTTCAATCCCAAAGCGAACGTTGCATGAAAGCCAGATCCAATCGAGTGGCGCTTTCGGAGACACCTTCGTGGGGGAGCCTCGAAGAGCACCAATCGCGAATTTTTGTTGCGACGTTTGATGCAGCATCGGCGAAACCGTTGCGAATACTGTAGTCTATATGCAGCTCTTTCCAGGACTGGGCGGACGCCATTTGTGCCAAGCTCGATTGAGTAGGTGGATTAGGAGGCGCGTATTCGTCACACCATCGGCTTCGCAGACACCAACACTACCGGGGCCTGCAATCTCGGAGGCTCCTGGTTAGGTAGGTATGCGATTTAGATGAAAGGGCATCACAACATCCAATGCCACCTTGAAAGTACGCGTAGCGCTGTTGCACCGTTGGATGACTTCAGATATCAACGAGTGGCCAGTTGCGTCCAAAAAGTCCCAGGCACAATGCACCAATAATAATAATGTACGATGCAACGGCAGATGCTGATCCGAGCTTTCAAGCTTTTTCCCTTTCTCGGCGGGTCACGTAATAATGGAACCAGCAAGGATTGTACTAGTACTCATCATTATCATTGGCTTTGGCAGCATCATCTGACAGGCCCAGGATGAGCGGGTCGGAAGATCCTGCCTTCCGGAGAACTGCTTTGCGCCAATCATCCCGCATCGGCGGGCCAACCTTATGGTGCGGAATATGTGCCGCATCAGCATGACGGATGACGATAATTGGCTCGGCCGAGAGGAGGGGTGGTGGCTAATGCAGGTCGGAGGGATGAAACACGGACTTATCTGCATGAAGGTGTGAAGCAGATTATGTTGTACAGATGCTGATCATGCATACTTTATATTTATGCAAGGCGATGTGTCAACATGCAAGTCAGAAAGGAGATGTCGCCTCCGAGGCTACTGTACTGTACTTCAAGTCTTCGGCCTCATTGCCACAAAGCTTGGACCTTTTGGCCTTTTCTTTTGGGTTCGGTTATAGTGTATCAGGAGGTACCACCGTACCTTACAGTAGGTAAGAGTGTTAGCAAGTTAGCATATGGAGGCGTGTAAAAGTATGGAGTACTCGTAAAATAGAGTACCGTATATCCAGCACCCTACCGCCACTGAGCACGTGAGAATCCCTGCTCCATTAAAAGCTTCAAATCTTAAATCCCCACACTAATTCACAATCCTGAGTAACTATTCCTGCCAAGAAGCAAGATGCGGTACTTGTCTCGAACTTGACTGTAGCTACTCTGACATGAATTGCTTCATGTTGCCTGCGTAGTAATCCATGTATTATGATTATACAGATTACTTCTTACCACACTCTCTTCTTTAGGCGATTCCCCGGTGGAGGTGGCTGACAAGCATGATCCACGCACGGCACGGTTGACTTTAAAATAACAAGCCAAAGCGATTGCGGCGTTGGTGCCACCTCCAAAGCTCTAACTCACTTTATCCATCACACTCCGATCCTCCCATCCGACTCGCTGATGGCCTTCTACATCAACCATTCCTTCTCTCCTCTTCCCTTCTTCTCCTTCTCCTTCTTCTTTTCTCTCTTTTGCGAAAGAAGATGGGACTGCGTGGTACTGTCGCCTTCTCTGGTCGTCAACTGTGCTGTTGGGTAGAGTTGGGCTGACCTGCGCTCGCTTGCGCTGCCATTCTCTAAATACTAAAGATGTCGCTGCTGCCAGTTACTCTACCACCTAGCGAGCTGATACGGTCTCGGAGTGCCGAGGTCATCGGAGCATCAGTGCCGTTGTTATTCCTACCCACCGCGGCTGTCGCCTTGAGACTGCTGTCCAGATGGATCTCACGAGCCGGCTTCTGGGTAAGATGTCTGACAGGCGCCGACCATGGGAGAGGGACTGACTGACTGG